GGGCATCATTGACCCCAACACCGGGGACAAGTGCTCTGTCGCGGATGCGGTGAACAAGGGCCTGGTTGACAAAATCATGGTGGACCGCATCAACCTGGCACAGAAGGCCTTCTACGGCTTCGAGGACCCGCGGACCAAGACGAAGATGTCAGCGGCACAGGCCCTGAAGAAGGGCTGGCTGTACTACGAGGCCGGGCAGCGCTTCCTGGAGGTGCAGTACCTGACGGGGGGCCTGATCGAGCCTGACGTCGAGGGCCGGGTCTCCTTGGATGAGGCACTGCAGAAGGGCACCATCGACACGCGCACGGCCCAGAAGCTGCGGGACGTCAACACCTACTCCAAGTATCTCACCTGCCCCAAAACCAAGCTGAAGATCTCCTACAAGGACGCGATGGACCGGAGCATGATCGAGGACGGGACCGGCTTGCGGCTGCTGGAGGCCTCCTCCCAGTCCAGCAAGGGCTACTACAGCCCCTACAACGTCAGCAGTGCCGGATCCACCTCGGGCTCGCGGTCGGGCTCCCGGACGGGATCCAGGTCGAGCTCCAGGCGAGGGAGCTTCGACGCCACCGGCTCTGGCTTCTCCATGACCTACTCTTCCTCCTCCTTCTCGTCCTCCAGCTTTGGGCGCAGATACACGGCAGGTCCCCAGAGTGCGGAGGATGCAGGAGACTCCTCCATCACCCCGTCCCTCCTGAGCGGGCGCTGCGGGCAGCAGGCGAGCGTGGCAGGGCTGTGGGCGCCTCCGCTCAGCGTGGCGTGAGGCTGCCTGCCCCGTCCAGCCTCCGAGGAGCCCGCCCGCCTCTCCCGCTCCGCATGTTGCAATGCTGCTGGCTAATCACTATTTTTTTTTTTTTTTTAATTTTTAAACTCCATTCTTCCAAAGCAGTGCCTAAAGTTTAACCAAAAAGACTAATATATTAATATATACGATTGTTCTGACAGTATTTGTATATTAAGAGATGTGAGAGAGAACACACTACCCTCCCAGATCCGCAGCCCCGGGAGCTTGCTGCCGTTCGTGCCCTCTGCAGAGCAGATCCTGCCCAGCCACTCGGACACAGCGAAGCAGAACCTGAAAACAGTTTTGTGTTTTTGATCTAACCACTTAGCGACTCTTTTGTAATTAAAACCTACCGGCTTCACCCCCGCACCTTGAAGGAGGAGACGGCGCTGTCCCTGCGGCGTGCCCGGCTGGGATGGAGGAGGACGCTGCCGCGGGCTCCCCCCGCCGCTCAGCACCGGGCAGCCCGATCCGATCCCCTGCACCACCCTGGAGCCACCCGGACCCTTCCACCTGCCCTCAGCACGGCAAAGGGGCTCTGCACCCCTCCCGAGCTGCCCCAGCTCCTTTCCTTGGCCTCCTGGCACAGCCCTGCCGCCGCCGCGGACCCGGTGCCCGACCGTAAGTGCGCGCTGGCGCTGCCCGCTGCTTCCGCGCCGTGCGGAGGGAGCTGCCCCGCACCGCCGCTGCGCCCACCCAGGGGCTTCGCTGCGTGCCCACCACCTCCGCCAGCCCGCCCGCTCGCTTGACTTGCCCCACGCGCAGCGGCACCTGCACCTCGCTGTCTATCTCTATCTGTCTGTCTCTCCGTGTATCTGGGAAGTGCTCCGCACAAGGTCTGTTCCTTAACGCTGACGTAGCCTAACCAGCTGGCAGCCGCTCGGCAGCGCCCGCGCTGCTGACTCCTTGCTGCCACAGCCGGCCCGGGGCTGTGCGCGCTGCGCGTGGTTTCTGCACCCAGACCCCAGCCCCCTGCCCGGCTGCGTGCCTGCCCCTCGCCGAGGCTCCTCCAGGCCGCGGGAGCCTCTGCGTGGGGCGGGCCTGGAGCGCGCTCTGGCTGGAGGGAAAGCGGATCTCTAAAACCAGACTCCTCTTCCTGATGGGAATTCCTTTCCTCTTGGCTTGCCTCTCCTTCCCGTCACCCGCAATAACGCGCTCTCTCTCTGGCAGATGTCTTTTTCCAGTCCCACCAAAGATGTCCCCTTGCCGCTGGGCGAGTTCCTCAGCTGGGTCTCCGACGTTAGCAGGTCGTGGATCGGCTCGAGGGGAGCCCTGGACGCGGCAGCGCCTCGGCTGAGCTCAGCTGCGCAGGTAATGCTGACCTTTCCCTACTCTCGGGGGGCTTCCTGGGGTCCTGCAGCTTGCGGGGCTGCTTCTGGGCTGCTGCTAGGGGGGGGCACGTCCTCCGGACTGTGACCGTGAAACGGCCACGGGGCGTTGCTTTCCTCCAGGCACGTGCAGGGGAAGCGTGGCCGGCGGTGGAGGCTTTCCAGCCGCGGCTGTGCCGGAGCAGTTCTGCTCCCCGCATGAGCTCCCGCTGTGCCCAGGCTCCATGGGGGCGAGCAGGCTGGTGTGGGGCGGGCGCGTGGCGCTGCCGGCTGGGCTCAGTGGCTTCATCTCATGGACCAGTCCTCCTGTCTCATCCCATCTTTTCTGTTCGCTTTGTTTTAGTGTTGCTGGATGTCCATCCCAACTCCCCTCACCGCTGCCACGGAGCCCGTCCCCCAGTGCTGGGGCAAGTGGGACCGCACTTGAGGACACTGGGAAATGCTCCCTCTCCCTTTGCACATTGCCAGATCCCCGCTCAGAGACCTGGGGCCACGCTGCCCGGGTGCAGGAGGTGCTCCATGGCACGGGAGCCCCTGACTCACCAGCCGCCCCTGCCCCCTGGCAGCGCCTGGCCCCAGCCCCACCACATCCTCCACCGGTGCCCCAGCAGGGGCTGAAGCAATAAGTGAGGTGGCAGCAGGGGCTGTGCCTGCCCGGCCCTGTCCCCCCTGGCCCCAGAGGCACCCGCGCGGTTGCCTGGCCCTCCCCTCGCCCCGTGCCGTGCACCCCATCCTCCCTCAGGATCAGCCTCCACGCACGGTGCCACGGCTCGCTCGCGGATCTCCACAGCACCTCTCCTCCTTCCCACCTTCTCTCATTTCGCCATGTGTAAATCAATCATGTTACTCCTCAGCATTTGTTATTATTCTCATTATCCAGTTTTGCTTTTGCATGACATACTAACGTGGGCGATTCTGTAACACACCCAGCCCGAGCCAGGGCTCCCGCTCCTCTGGGTCCCTGCGCTTCCCTGATTTCCCAATCATTTCTCATCAGGGCAGCAGGGGCTTATCAATAATCCAAAAGCATCTCTTTTTTTGGGGGCAAAACACTAAAACCTGACTTGTATATACCGTGAAGTGTTTGTAAAACATGCAGTATGGACCCATGGCTCTCCCCAGTGAGGTCAGTAAAAGAGATCCTATGAAACCAGCCGGCAGCTCCGCGTGGTCTGTTCACCCTCCCTGCTCCCTGGTCAGCGGCCGTGCCCCTGGGGTGGGCCGGGGGCTCTCGGCCACCTCCTGCGCTCTGGGGCTGTGGCACACTGGGTGCTTGCTGGCGGGGTGGAGGAAGAGGCTGGCTGTCCAGCTGGGGCATGGCTGGGGCACTGGGACTGTGACCTGGGGCCAGCAGGACCCTGCTGCCTGCAGGCTCTGCCCAGTGCCTGGTGTGAGTGCTGTGCCGGTGTGCTCAGTGCATGCTAAGCCATGCCCAGGCAGCCCCCCCGGTGCCACCGTGCCCAGACCAGGGCTGCAGGATTGTCCCCGGGGACCCCGGGCACGCTGCTGGCTGCCCTGGGCTCCCAGCACCGGGTGTGCTCCGCAGAAAGGTGAGTGTGGGCGCAGCGGGGCCCTGGCATGGCCCTGGGAGGCTGCAGCCCCTTGCCAGTGGCTCCCTGGTTTTGGGGACGGGGGGAGCAGCAGCAGGGGGGCACTGCTGGTGGCGTGGAGGCTTCTGAGGGTGCCTCTTGTGCATGAGCACCGCTCTGTCCCTCTGCGTGGCGCCGTGCCCCCTGCACCCCGGGTGCTGCTGTGCTGGTGCCGATGCGTGCAGCGGCTGCGTGAGCAGGGCCTTGCTGGGGCTGTGCACAGCGGGCTGCCGCCTCTGCTTGTCCCTGCGGTGCCACAGGAGCGTGGCGCACACAGCCGGGTGGTGCACAAAGCAGCGGGGATGGGTCCCAGTGCTTGGGGACGCCCCGCGTGGCTTCCAGGACAGAGCAGCCTGGGCAGGCAGGGGCGAGCTGGGCGGTGACCAAGCAGCAGGGTTTGTGGGGACAAACCTGAGCGTGGAGGCACCTGCTCAGGGGGGTTTCCTGGCACTGGCTCTACCGGCACATGAAGTCTTTGCAGCCCTGCAGGCCCTGGGCTGGGCCGGGTGCCAGGCACCACGCCAGGAACACCAGGGCTGGCACAGCAGGGCCGAGCGTGGCACGAGCGGGCTGCCGGGTGTGCAGGGGCAGCAGCCTGCTCCGTGCGATGTTGGGGCCGGCAGGGATCTGCCCAGCAGCAGCAGGACCGTGCTGGGGGCAGCTGAGCGCATCGGCCCTGTAGCAGCACCCGGGGAGGGTCTGGGCTGGCCCGGACAGATGGCAGTGGCTGGGGAGCGAGTTAATTGCCTTGTGCGTCAGCAATTAGCAGCAGCGTCCCTCCCTGCAGTGTGGTGCGCTGGGACACGGCTGCTGGAGGTGGCAGGGGTGGGGGCACCGCGTGGGCACAGCCCCGGTGCCAGGGGTGGCTGCAGGCTGCTGCGCCCATCCTGGTGGGCTCAGGATGGGTCCCAGCAGGGGGCAGCTCCCCAGGGTGGCACGGCCGGTGCAGAGCCTGCACCCTGTGCTCATCAGCACCCCGGGGCTGTGCACGGCCTCATTGCCACCAGAGGGAATTCCTGCTGCCTCACCTCAGCCTTCCTGCTGCCCCTCGGGGCTGGACACCTCTCACAAACCCCATGAGCCCACTGAGACCCTCCTGCCCCTGTCCCTACCCTGCTCCATGGACGAGATACCCTCATCCGCAGACCCTGGGTGGGGTTGACCTCCCCTTCCTGGGGCTGAGAATTGACAGCAAACCCTGAGCTCTGCAAATCCTGCGGGCTCCTTCTGGGAAGCCCCGGCCCCTGGGAGCAGCACCAGATTGCTGGAGGGGACCCCGTGCCCCATGCCCACAGCACCGTACCCGTGTTGGTCATGGCACGGGCGGCCCCCTGGCGTGGCAGTGGGGTCGGGCAGTGGGACCCCACTGCGGTGCCTGGCAAAGGGACAGGCCCCCGGTGGGGTGTGCTGGGGGGGGCACCCCCCATACCCACACCTCTCTGGCTCCCACACACTCACTCCAGAGCCGCGTTGCTCCCTGTGCATGGGGCAGCACCGGTGCCTTGGTGTCACGCAGGAGGACTTGGCATCAGCCAGGCGGGGAGCAGGGGCTGCCCGGTCCCACTGCTCCCCACTGGAGCTGCTGCAGGTTTGCCCGGTGCCTGCAGCCCCGGTGGCCCCGGTGCAGCCAAGCGAGCACAAGCACCGCGCGAGGGAGCGCCAGGGCTGCAGCCGTGCCGGGGGAGCAGCGTCAGCAGCCACGGCACGGCACCGCGCGCTGGGAGCGGCCGAGCAAGCGTGTAATTGGGCCAGGCTAATTATGATGGATAACTCTATTATATTCCCGTTTTTAATGCGCCGCAGCTTAGCCTGCCCCGCTGACGCACAGGGCAGAGTTCACCCCTTTCAGCCCCCGCGAGCTCAGCGGCCGCGCAGCGTTAAAGCCTCGGTGTGCGGGGCGCTGAATGCGGCGCCCATAATGGCTGTCACTCAGCCCTGCGCGCACAAACGTTTGCAAACAGCCGGTGACCAGCTCACACAAAGCACTCGCGGGGACCCCGCCGACGCTCGCCAGGGGGGCTCGGTGCTCCCAGGTGCGTGGCAGCCGAGCCGGGCACCAGCCCTGGCGCCGGCACGGATTGCCTTTGGCTCTGGGGTGCGCGTTCCCTTGGCTGCGGGGCCCTGTCCGGCCGCGGGGGACCTGTGGCTGCCGTCCCAAGCGGGGCCACGGCCGCCAGCTCGTCCCTGCTGGCACGCAGCGCCTGCCAGCTCCCTGCGCCCGCCGCCCCGGGCACTGCTGGCGCCGCGCTGCAGCCCGTGGCTCGCCGCGCTGGGAACGCTGTGTACAGCTTAGCGGGCAGCCACAAAGCAGCACCGGCCTCTCCCACGCCCCCCCCTTCACCAGGGTGCTGAACTTTTCTTTAGGGTGATAAACTGCCCCGCTCTGCTTCCTCCGCACGTGTGGAGCCCAGCAGCTCCCCTGTGGCCTGCCGCTGCCCTGGGGCACGCAGCCCCTTCTTGCTGTGGGGTGGCACGCAGCCCCCCAGCCCCTGTGGAAATCTCGGTGCTCATCAGCCGAGGACAGCGCTGCCCCGTGGGGTGTGCCCGTGTCCCGGTGCCGGTGCGTGGCACGGTGCAGTCAGCACGGCGGGCTGCTGCTGGCACTGTGCTCGGTGGTCCCGGCTGCTGATCCCACCCCTCTGCTGGCTGCAGGCCCCAGGAGGCAGGAGGGGGCTGATGGCACTGGATGCCCGGTACCCGCTGCAGGGCTGGGTGCTGCCAGGCTGCGGGGCCGGCCAGGGGCTGTGGCGAGGCCGAGTGGTCTCGGGGTGCTCTGAGCTCTGAAGCTGCTGACAGGGCCATGGGACCTGAGGCAGTACGGGGACCCGTGCCCCCCCCGAGGCACCTCGTCACTGCTGTCAGGCGGCTCCAAATCCGTTCGTTCTGGTTGTCATGTCCCAGGACGGAGCTGTGCCTGGTGGCTGTCCCAGCTCTTCCCACTGCTGCACTGAGCTGGGGGCAGAGGGGGGAGCACGGGCAGCGAGGAGCCCCGCGGACTGCCTGAACTTGACTGTGAACACCAGGGACACTCCTCGTGCTTGTGAAAATATTCCACGTCCCTGCTTGTCGAGCCTGTGGTCCTCAGCCTCTGCCCCTCGCAGGCAGCGCCGATGCACGGCATCGCAAACACACGGCCGGCAGCTCGGTGTGGGGGCCACCTGCCCACCCTCGCTCTGCCTCGTGCTCACGTTCCTTGTCACTCCCCTCCTCGCAGCATCCCACAGGAGGTTTGTACCTCACCTCCCGCAGCCTCTTGCAGCAGTTCTGCTCCCCCATCTCAGCAGCTCTCTGGCTGTGCCCTGGGTGAGCTCTGTGTGACCCTGAGCTCCTTTCAGCTCCTTTGCTCTGCCAACAAATGCCTCGGGCTTGGCTGTGTCCCCTCTTCCCGCGTGCTTCTGCAGCCTTTTGTGGGTGCAGCCCCTTGTCCCAGACACGGAGGCTCACTGCAGGCTCTGCAGCGGGGCAGGGCTGGGGCTGTGCCCCTGGGTGCAGGCACGGGGCTCGGGGCTGCTCTGGCCACTGCTGGGGGTGGTGAGGGCGAGGGACCACAAGGACACGTGCGGGACCGTGGGCTGCAGGGACCAGGCATGCAGTATCTGGTCTGAGACACGCAGTTGATGTGCAGGAGGTGGAAATGGGGCGAGGTGATGCTGCCCCGGTGGGGACAGGGTCAGAAAGTCATCGCTGCTGGTGCCGTGCCCATCTTGAGACTGCTGGTGACGAGCCCTGCCAGCCCACTGGTCTGGACTGGGAGAGCACAGGGGTAGCACTGGAGGGAGGGGAGGACTCCACAGGCAGCCAGCACATGAGCTAACACGGGGGGGTCCTTTGTGCCGTGCAGCTCAGCCTCCTCCGGGCAGTGCCCCCAGCCCAGGGCCAGCTGCTGCTCCTGGGGCTTTGGTGCTGGGGTTTGTGAAACCTGCCCAGCCCTCGGCGCATCCCGCACCCACCCGCGGGCCCTGCAGGGATGGGTGCAATGAGGCTCAGGGCAGGAAGGGGCAGCATGGCTCAGTGACAGAGACAGGGCAGTGCCTGGGCGTGCAGGGTTTGGGCAGGTGGGGAGCTCTGTGGGGCACTCAGGGGCTCTGTGGGGCACTCAGGGGCTCTCCCTGCCTGGGCTGGGCTCAGCCTGGCACTGAGGACAGGGTTTGGCACTGCTGGCCTCATGAGGAGCAGATTTAGGGATGTGGGGGGCCCCAGACTGTGATGGGCTCACAGTTGTAGTTGGGCAACAGAGGTCTGAGAGCAGTCCCGGGGAAAACAGGGACAAGAGATTTGGGAGCTGCTGTGGTTCTTGTCCCAGCATTGGAGACCAAGGCGAGCGGGTTGGAGCTGGCAGGGAACACCGAGGGCTGGCAGTCCCGGGGGGCTTTGTCCTGGGGGGTGAGGATGGGCCCTGTGGCTGCCCCATCTGTGGGGGGCACTCCCTGCTGGGGGCACACGGTGGCACCCTGAGACATCTGTGCCAGTGCGAGGCGAGCACGCGGGGCCTTGCGGGGATAACGGGGCAGCTGGGGCAGGGTGAGTTGGGCTTCTTGGGCACCTGGGCTAGTACAGGGTTGCACCCACGGGGTCCCTGCTGCCCTGAGGCACCATACGGCTCCTCCTGCCTGCAGGTATCGGCCCCACCATGCCAAAAAACCCCGTCCCACCCCTTCCTTCTGCTCTCTCTGCAGACACGCTTCGCTGCGGATGGCACCGGGCTCTCTGGGACGAGCACGGAGGGGCTGTCACCAGAGGCGGAGGAGCTGGAGAGGTAGGGGTCTGCTGGGCACATTGAGGGCTGCCCAGGGCCAGGGACTGCTCGTGGGCATCTTCGTGATGGCTGGGATGAATCTGGCACCGTCCCACCTGGGTCAGCCACTGGGAAAGGGACAAGGGTGTTGCGGGCAGCTCCATCGCTGTCCCACCCAAACCGAGGGGTCCCTGGAGGGGTCCCTGCACGTCCTGGCTGTGCCCTGCGCCCCTGCAGCCCCGCGTGTCCCGCGCTCTCTCCGCAGGGCGCAGCAGCGGGGCGAGGGGACGGAGTGGCGGCTGGAGGTGCACGAGCAGCTGCTGGCCCTGCGGCACTGGCTGGACGCCGTGGAGAAGAGGCTGCCGGAGCCGGGCCCTGCGCTGCAGGTATCGGGCTGGCCCCGGGCGAACGGCGGCCGGCAGAGCCAGGCAGGACCCAGCCCACGGTTCACAGAGGCTGGTGAGGTCTCGGTCCCCAAACGGGACAGCGCCTGGCTGCGGCTGGTGGCAACGACACGGCCCTGCCAACCTCCCCCTGGCACCGAGGGAGCAGGCAGGGGGCTGTGTCCCCACGGCGCTCACCCAGACCTGCCCATGGCACGGCTGCGCCTCCGTACCCCACCGCCACCTCCTTTGGCTGCGGAGGGCTTGGAGCCTCGAGCCCCCACTGGCAGCCAGTCCCTGCCACCCCCTGCCCCTGGCTCAGCCCCGTCCTGCGTCCCCTGCATCCAGCCAGGGCCGTGCAGCTGCGCAGGGAGGGCTGCACGCGCTGCCCAGCCGTGTCCCCGCCGTGTGCCCATCTGCTCGCAGGGCCCTGCCAGCAGGGTGTGAGGCGTCCCCCTGGTGCGGGGCAGCAGCGGGAGCACCCGGCCGGTGGGGGCTGCCCTGGCCAACCCCTCCTCGCGGCCCTGTGAGCAGCCCCTCGCTGGCTCCTTTTGTTCTGGGGCTGGCCAGCACACGGGCTCCCCGCGCACACATGACAGCACAAACTGAAAGGGCCATTCATCGCGGCCCTGGCGCAGACAAAGCCGAGGCCGAGGAGAAACCCACCCAGCTCCCGGGATCTGAGGCTGTGGATTCCAGCCGCCCGCTCCCGCCGCTGCCCCGCGCTGGGCTCGCTCTGCCCGGGGCACCCGCGCCACCCCCAGCCCGTACCTGAGGCCGGGGAGCGTGCCAAGGGAGCTCCTGGCAGGCGCGGGTCGGGCACAGCGAGCGGCTCCGGGAGGGAGCCGGGGCTGCTGCCCCCACCTCGGGGGGCCCTGGCCGGGCGCTCGGGGCACGGGAGCCTCAGCAGCGTGGGGGCTGTGCCGGGGGTGTCCAGGCTCCTGCTCGCCCTCCGTGGGGCTGCGTGGTGGGGGGCGAGAGCCGTGCTGCAGGAGCAGATGGAGCTGGGTTTGGGGGAGCAATAGAGGGGTGCAGACCCCCCGCCAGTTCCTTTTTGGGGTGCTCAGTGGGGCAGCATCACCCCCCCCCCCAGCACAGAGCCAGCACCAGGGGCTCAGCACCCTTGGCCAGCCCCCGGGAGCCTCCCAGTTGTCGGGGCTCCCCTGGGGAGTCCCGGAGCACCCAGGGAGGCCCCCGCCTCCGCAGGGCGCCCACGCACAGCCCCGGCAGCGGGTGCCGAGCCCCCCGCTCAGCGGGAAGGCGCCGCGGAGCCGCAGGGACCCGGGCTATGCTAATTCCCTGCCGCGTCTCTGGCAGACAAAGCCCCCGGACGCCTCCGCCCGCTGCTTTCAGGAGAGCCCAAGGGACCCCATCCATCAGCGCCGCGACGCTGCCGGGGCCCCCCGAGGGGCACCCGCTGCTTGTGCGGGGCAGGAGCCCCCCGGCCCTGGGCCGTGCCCCCCACGGGGTGGGCTCGGGCAGGCTCCGGCGCTGGGGCTGGCGGCACGGGCACCGCGGGCAGCAGCAGAGCCCCGACCCCCCCGGGAGCCCCGATCCCCCCCCGCACCCAGGGCAGCGGCGAGTCCGGCCCGGAGACCCCCCGGGGGGGCGGTGGGCTCTGTCCTGGCACCGCCGCCCCCCTGCCCGGCCGCTCCCCCTCCCGGCCCCCTGCTCCCACCCGAGACCCCCCCACCCCAGCGTTGGGGTGCAGCGGGGAGGGGGCCGCGCCCCGGCCACCCCTTGGGGGGGGGCGCGCTCGGGACCCGGGGTCGGGCAGCGGCACCCCCCTCGCCCCCCCCTCCCCGTAGACCCCGTCCAGCCCGGGGGGGGCCGCGCACGGGGCCGGGTCCCGGCCCCCCGGGGCTCTCCCAGCCCGGTCCGGGGCCGGGGGCAGGTGCCGGGGAGGGGGGCGGTGGGAACGGCGCCGCTCCCCTCCCCCGCCCGGGATGGCTGCGAGGCCCCGGGGGTTTCCCCGGTAACGGCCCCGCCGCGGCTCAGCACGCCAAGGGTTAACGCGAGCGGCCGTATTGTACGAGGGGGGCGTGCGGCGGGGTCAGCAGAGCCGTGCCGAGCCGCGCCGAGCCGCGCCGAGCCCCCCGGGCCATGTCCCCGCGCCGGTGACCCGGGGCCCGTCCCCGCTCCGCGCCCCCCGCGCCCGTCCCCGCCCCGCCGCCAGGGGCCGGCGGCGCCCCCGGGAGCGGGCGGCGGGAGCGGGGCGGCCCCGGCCCACGGACACCGCGGGGTGAGTGCGGGGCTGCGCCCCCCGCCCCGCCTGGGGACCCGCGGGGGGCGAGGGGCGCACGGGGGGGGCGCGCCAAGGGGCCGGGCGGGGCGGGGCGCGAGGTCCCCGCGGGGTGCGGGGGGCTTGGGGGGGTCTCCCCGGCCTCCCCCGGGGGCAGCCCCATCCTGCGGGGGGCCGAGGGGCGCGCCTGGGGGTCGGGGGGCGCTGAGTGCGGGGCCAGGAGCGGGGTCCCGGAGCCCCCCTGCAAGGTGCAGCCGAGCGAGAGCGGGCGCAGGTGCCGCGTGTGGGGTCTGCGCCGTGCCGGGGGGGCTCAGCGTGCACCCACGGGGCTGACCCCTGCGGGGCGTGCACCCTGACCCCGCGTGTGCCCCCGTTGCACGTGCCCGCAGCTGGCGTGGGCATGGTTGGGGCTGCGAGGCTGCGGGGTGCGTGCGTGCAGCGTGGCGGCGGTGAGGGGGCTGCGCCTGTTGCATGGCGAGGGGCTGAAGGGGTGCGTGTGAAGCGGGTGCAAGTGCACGTGGGGAGCGTGGTCGTGCCACAGGTGCACGCAGCAGCAGGTGTGTGCAGTGCCCCGGGGCCACACGCACCCTGCGTGGAGCTGGGGGCTGTGGGCAGGGGGCTGTGGGCAGGGGGCTGCGCGTGCACGCAGAGCCCCAGCAGCCAGGGGTCCGTGCTGGTGATGCGTGTGGGTGCACGCGTGTGTGCGCCCCTGCGAGCCCCCCCTGTGTGTGTGTGTGTGTCTGTGTGTGTGTGTGTGTGTGTCTGTGTGTGTGTGCATGTGCGTGTGCGTGTGCGTGCGTGCATGTGTGTGTGTGTGTGTGTTCCTGCACGCGGGTGCATGCCCAGCACCAGGCCCTGGGCACAGGCTGCGCTGCGGCAGCGCCGGGCTGGGTCTGGCGTGGGAGGGTCCTGGCGGGTGGCGCGGGGGATTTATGGCTGCGGCAGGCGGGGAGCTGCCTGCCGGGGGGGTGCTCCCGATGGACGGCCCCGGCCCCGCTCCCCCCCGCAGGTCCCCGGTGCTGCCTTTGTCAGGGCGCCGCAGACAGATGGCTCTTTTCTCCCGGCTCCTCTGGCCTCGGAGTTAATCTAATGGCACAAAGCGATGCTGCTGGGGAGCATCTGCCTGTCTGCGGGCGCCCTGCGCTGCCTCCCGGTACCTTTCATTTACATTTCTCTTAACGAGACGCGCATCTGCCAGGCAGGGACGCGCGCTGCCCGCCGAGAGGTGGCAAAGCCACAGGTCCCACGGTGTCCCCGCCCGGCGCCATCCCTCTCCCCGTGACAGCTGGGTCTGGGTGACCACCAGTGCCTCATCCCCCCGCTGTCCCCAGGGCCCTGGCCCTGTTGTTTGGGGGCTTTTGGGTCCCCCAGGCCTGTGCAGGAATTCGGGTGGCAGCAGCATCCTTTGGGGCAGAAGTGCAGCTGGGAGCCGGGGTCCTGGGGTGCAGGATGAGGTCCCAGGCGCTGCAGAGCGGGGCTCGGCCACCAAGCAGCCCTGTGGTGGCTCCGATGACATGCGCCTCCTGGCTCCGATAACATGCGCCCTCCTGGCTTGTTTCAGGCCGGGATTTGAGGTGGGGGCCCGGCGCCCGCGCCATGGGGAACTCGGTGAGTCGGCCCAGCTGCCTGGGCGAGAAGAGCCGGCGCTCAGAGGAGCTCCTCCGGGAGCCGCAGCTCCGGGACCTGGGGCTGGACGTGGGGCAGCCGCCCGGCGGGAGCGTCGCGGAGGCCCAGATGGGGCCGCTGGAGAAGCCGCCGGGCCAGTGGAGAACGGCTGGAGCCCGGCACCTGCGGCTGGCCGGAGCGGGGCCGGCAGCCCCGTGCTGAAGCGCAGCCTCTCGGAGGTGGCGGTGCAGAACGGGGGCGCAGCCTGCGTCCCGCTCAAGGGGCAGGGAGAGGCGCGGGGCGCAGCCTGGACGCCCCCCCGGGCCGGCGCCCCCCGGAGCGCCTGGTCCTGGAAGCCCGTCACCACGCGGGAGGTGACAGAAGTGACGGAGGTGACGGAGACCATCGTGACGGAGATTGTGGAGGTGACCGAGTACCCGGCCGGCGAGAAGGGCGAGCCCCTGGTCACCCGGACGGTCACGGTGCTGACGGAGCGCGCGGGGGAGCTCGCAGCCGGACACGCGGATGCCCCAGAGGTGACTGCCGGGCAGGAGCCTCTCGCCAAGGACGACGCCGTGCCAGCCCCAGGCGTGGGCTGGGGGGGCCCAGCACCCCCAGCCAGATGCCAGGAGGTCGGAGCAGCCCCCTCCCCTCTGCCACGGCAGGGTGGGGGCTCGAGCCTGCCCCTGGCGCCGTGAGCTTGTAGGGCGCGCACCGTGCTGGGTGCTTCGGGGTGTGTACTAGGGCTTTCCAGAGCTCTGCAGGCAGTGCCTGATCTTTTGGCCCCGAGGACCGAGTGGTCTGTGCAGAGCCCTTCCCCAGCACGGCTGTGCCAATGGGACCGGCAGGTGACATGGGGCCAGGCTGGGGGTGCTGGGGAGGACTGGGGCTGGGCTGGGTGCCTCTGTCCCAGCGCCGCCTCCGGGACTGGGCATCGCAGGGACCGGAGCACCCCAGCCCCCGTGGCCGTCCCGAGCCTGGGTGGCTCAGCCACCTCTCTCCCCAGGTGTCCCTGCGGGCTGTCCCCGTCCCGGAGGATGTGGCAGGTACGGAGCGAGCCCAGGACACTCTGGAGAGCCTCCTGGCCTGGGTGGCAGACATGGAGGAGCTGGTGAGCAACCAGAAGCCGCCCTCCTCGAAGTGAAGGTGGCTGAAGGCGCAGCTGGAGGAGCAGAAGGTCGGCAAATCCCGGGCAGGCGCAGCCCTCCCACACTGGTCTCCCTCCAGCCGGGGATTACAGGGCTGGGGGCTGGGGGCTGGGGGCCAGGGCAGGCCCCCCATGCACAGCTCTGTGCCGTGCCCCCTTCAGCTCCTGAAGCGGCTGCTGGAGGAGCGGAGGCCCCGTGTGGAGCACGTCCTGCAGGAGCGAGCGGCGCTGCCGGGCACCACGGCAGCAGCAGCCTGAGGGGAGCAGCGGCCTGTCCAGCCTCGGGGAGAAGTGGGGCAAGCTGATGCAGGAGGCAGAAGCCAGGTGGGTCAGGGCCGAGGCATTTCTCAGCTGGGGTCAGCACCTCCAGCCCTGTGTGTAGGAGCCGGCGGTGCCGTGCAGCTCCCCCGCCGTGCCCTGCAGCGGCAGCAGGACGTGCTCTCACCATGTCTGTGCGGGGTCAGCGGCTCTGTGCTCGCCCTGCTGCGAGGAATGGAGATGGAGCAGGACCGGGGCTGGTGCAGCCGGGCAGGGGCCGCCTCGCCCTGTGTCCCTGTGTCCCTGTGTCCCCGTGTCCCTGTGTCCCCTTGTCCCTGTGTCCCTGCTCCCTGGACCCTGAGCCCAAGGTGCCCGCAGCGTGTCCCTGGGGCGGACGGGGGGATGCCAGCCTCACCTCTCGTGGTCGGGGTGGGAAGCTCAGCCCAGCTCACCCACCTTCCCGGCGCAGGTACGGCCGCCTGGAGCGGATCCTGCCGGCAGCACAGAGCTTCCAGGAAGCCGTGGACTCCTTCCAGGAGTGGCTCGGTGCCACAGAGCGGCAGCTGGCCCAGCTCTGGCGTGCCAACGGCTGCGTCAGCCGTGTGCAGGAAGCCCACCAGCAAACCCAGGTCAGGGCGGGCACGGACACGGCGGGACAGGGCACAGAGGGAGCCGCGAATTTGGGCACGGGGAGGGCTGGGACGGGGAGAGCAGCCGCTGCCACAGGAGCCTCCCTCCCAGGCCCTCTGCGAGGAGATCCGCGCCCGGCTGGCGGAGCTGGAAGGAGTCCTGGAGAGCGGGCAGCGGGTCCTGCAGATGGTGACAGGTGAGATGGGGACGGCGCCACGTGGGGGACCGCAGCCCCGGGGCTCGGGTAGCAGGGGTCTGTGGGGTACCCGCTGCAGTCCCAGTGAGGGCAGAGCCTCGGGAAGGGGCTGGCCTGGATGGGGGGCGGTGGAGATGCCCCCAGATGAGCAGGGTGAGATGCGCCCATGTGGAGCTGGGTCCCTGTGGATGTGGAGGGCCACAGGGTGGGGACAGGGAGCTGGGAGGGAGAGGTGCAGAGCTCTGCCCTGGGCTGTCTGGCACCAAGCCATGTCCCAGGGAGGTGGCAGTGGGGGCACCCCATGGTGCTGGGTGTCCTTGGGGCTCCCCACTGAGCTGCCACTGACTTTGGGAGCACGGCATCGTGCGATGCCCGCCCTGCCTCGTGGAGGGGGCACACGGATCCCATCAGAGAGCGGCCGGGGGGAGCCCACGGCAGGGCAGTGCAGTGGGATGGGGCACAGCAGCAGCAGACAGGCACTTGGTGGGGATGAGGGGGCAGAGCCAGGCCCAGAGAAGCAGACGAGGGGAAGAGCAGGATGTGGAGACCATTAGGAGGGAGGGCGCGCTCGCTGCAGCAGGTCCCTGGCCCTGGGGACGGTGCTACGGTGCTGAGGCTGCTCCTGGCACCGCCGCAGGGGAGGAGGCGCAGCTGGCGCAGGAGAAGATGGAATCCCTGAGGATGCGGTACCTCATCGTGGGCCAGAGCAGCGCTGACACCGTGCACCGGCTGGGGCAGACCCTGGAGGCCTCCTCCCGCGTGGGCACTGCCCAGGAGGACCTGGCGCTCTGGCTGGGACGCGTGGAGAAGGAGCTGGCCTCCTGGGACAGCCAGCACGGCGGCCAGGAGCCTCCAGTCAGCACGAGCGACAGGGAGAAGGTGCGGGAAATGGGGACCCTGGGGACTGTCCCCCTCTGTCCCCATCACGCAGCCAGGGAAGGGTCTGGAGGGGAGCAGGGATGGGCCGTGCCGGGCAGCAGGGATGTCCTGCCCTGACCAAATGCACTGGGGGCTCTGCCCTGGGAGCCCCCCCGGTGCACGGCCAACAGCTCCCCTCCCTGCTGCAGTTTGAGCAGATCCTGGGCTCCGAGCTTGCCCACCTGGAGGGGCTCGGTGAGCGGCTGGAGGCGGTCAGCCAGGTCCAGCTGGACGCGCAGGCGCTCCGCTCGCAGCTCTCGGACCAGAAGGTGGGTCGGAGAAGCTGCTCAGGGCCACCGTGCGCCCTGCTCGTGCCATCCCCGGGGCTGGGGGCTGGCCGCTGTCCCCCCACAGAGGGTCGTCGGCGCTGGGCAGGGGGACAGCCAGCACCTGGGGGCCGTGTGCCTGGGTCTGGCCGTGCAGCCCCGCAGAGCTGCCATGCGGCACCCTCCTGCCTGTGTCTTGCAGCTGCTCTCTGCTGAGATCCTGCACCACCGCGGGCTGGCGGAGCGGCTGCTGGGCATCGCGGACCCGCTGCTGCGGTCCTGCCCCGAGCCCCTGCAGCAGCGCCTGCAGGTGAGCGGCCGCAGCGGGGCCATGCCGGGTGGTACGGGGGGACGAGGCCGGCCGTGCCGTGTCCCCGTGCTGGCAGCAGGCACCCAGCAAGCTGTGTGTCTCTGCAGCCCTCGGTGCAGGCGCTGCGGGAGCGTGCGGAGCAGCTCTTCGTGCGCAGCGGGGCCTGCGCCGTGCAGCTGGAGCACGCCCAGTCCCTGCTCGCAGCAGTTCGCCGAGGCTCACGCCGAGCTCTTGCCGTGGCTGGAGGAGACGCAGGCCGTCGGGGTGCAGCTCTCCCCAAACGCCATCAGCTACGAGGCCTTCAAGGAGCAGCAGGCACTGCTGCAGGTGAGGGATGGGGAAGGGCAAAGGCTGGGCCGAGCTCTGGCACCCCGTGGGAGTGCGGTGGGGAGGGCACCGGGGCTCGGCCCAGGACGGGGCAGGCAGCAGGCGCTGGTGGCTGAGCACAGAGGGGACGTGGGAGAGGGCAGCGCACGGAGCACGGGTGCAGTGGCAGCACTGGGGTGGGCATGGCCCCGTGCTCCCCATCCCGTGGCCCCTCACGCTCCCACGGCCTCTCCTCTGCCACCAGTGCCTGCGGGAGGCGATCGCGGAGCACCGGCCCCTGATGGGGAAGCTGCAGCGCGTCTCCGCGCAGCTGGTGGAGCTGAGCCCGGAGCAGGGCGCCCCGTTCCAGCAGCGCTGGCAGGAGGCGGAGGAGCAATACTGCCGTGTCCGTGAGCGTGTGCGCCAGGCGGCCGCTGTGCTGGAGGACGCGCTGCCGCGCTACAGCCAGGTACGGCCGGCACGGGGGCTGGGTCCCCCCGAGCTTCCCTCCGGTGACCGGGCTGGTCCCGCTGCACCTTTCCCAGCTGACCGAGCGCATGGACCTGCTGCTGGAGTGCCTGGAGCGGCTGCAGAGCCGCCTGCAGAGCCAGCCCTCTGTCCGCGGCGACACGGCCCACCTTCGGGAGCAGATCCGGGAGAACAGCCTGGCCCTGGGCGAGCTGGAGAAGCTGGGGGTGGCCCTGGAGACCGTGCAGGCACAGGGCGCCGAGCTGCTGGCCAGCATGCAGGCAGCCAACTCCGACGCTGCTGCCAGAGGTGCTGGCAGGGGGTGTGGGAGCAGCACGTCCCCGTGTGGGTGCAAGGCCCCGCAGTGGCACCCCGGGCCGAGCCCCAGTCCCTCTTGCGCCCCGCAGGGATCCAGGAGCGGACGGCGCAGCTGCTGTCCCAGTGGGGCCGCCTGCGGGGCCGCTGCGAGGAGCAGGAGCGCTGGCTGCGGGAGCTGCTGGCGCTGGCCGACCGCTTCTGGCACGGCCTCTCGGAGCTGGCCCTGACGCTGAGCGACACCCAGCAGCTGGTGCTGGGCCTGGAGGAGGCTGGCTGGCGAGTCCCGAGGCCATCCGCACGCGGCTCCGCACCATGCAGGTACAGGGCAGGGGTCCCCAAGGGCAGCCCCGCGGCACGGGCAGCTCCGAGCCCCCTCCCCACCCACAGGCGCTGCGGGAGGAGATCGACTCGCTGCAGGGCGAGCTGGACACGCTGGGCATCCTGGGCGTGGAGCTGATGTCCTCCTGTGGGGACCCCGACAAGCCCGATGTCACCAAGAGCCTGGATGATGTGAGCGCCCTGGCTGGGGGGCCGGGGGGCTGTCTGTGGTGGGCACGGGTCCGCATGGGGGGGGTGGGAACGGGACATCCTCAGAGCCGAGCCGCAGCTGGGCCCTGGAGAAGGGGCAGGCGCGTTCCCAAGCCCCGTGGGTGCCCCTGGGCTGTGCTGCAGGGAGGGTGGGTGTGCTGGGCTGGTGTCCTTGCACAGGGGACGGTGTCCCTGGCATCCTGTGGTGGTGCCGGCTGACTCGCGCCCTGTGCCGGTGCCCACCCCCCCGAGCTCCGCGCGGTGCCGCTGACCCTCGCGCCCTGCCGCAGCTCTACTCCTCCTGGCACAGCCTGAACAAGGTGTGGACGGAGCGCTACGCCCGCCTCGAGGAGCAGCTCCAGGCCTCCGTCAGCTACCAAGAGACCATGCAGGTGGGGTGCCAGGAGGGCTGGCGTGTCCCGTGTGCAGGGAGAGGGATGGGGACAGCTGCCTAGGGCCCCCCGCCCTCCCCAACGCCTCAGTCCCTCCTGTCCCCAGCGGCTGTTCGAGTGGCTGGACGCGGCTGAGCTGCGCATCGCGGAGGAGTTCCTCGTCGGAGGGGACCTGGACATGGTGCAGCAGCAGCTGGCGGAGCTGAAGGTGTGCGGTGCTGCAGGATGCCTCCCCGGCCTGGGGTCAGGCATGGGGACCAGGGGGCAGGCGGGCGCTCGGGGTATTTCCTGGCAGGTGGGATGAGGGCGCGGGATGTTGGACAGAGCCGCTGCCCCCTGCACCTGCTCGTGGTCTGCAGAGGGTGGCCAGGACCTGCCCGGGGTGCCTGAATCCCTCCTGCCCGAGATGCCCCGAGTGGGCAGGGCTCCTGGCTCTCCACGGGGAGGAGCTCTGGGCCCAAGTGCCTGTGCCAAGCTGTGCCAGGCTGTGCCAGGCTGTGCCAGGCTGTGCCAAGCTGTGCCAGGCTGTGCCGCGCCATTCCAAACTGTGCTGTGCCGTGGCATCCTGTACCATAGTGTGCCATACTCAGCTGTGCTGTGCCATGCTGTGCCATACAAAGCCTTCCCATGCTGTACCGTGCCACTTGGCTGTGCCATGCCATGCCATGCCATGCTGTGCCATGCCATGCCATGACATTCCTTGGTGGCACCTCAGGCCCATGGCTCCATGTCAGAGGGCCAGGGACCGTGTGCCACCACCCATCTGATGGTTGGACTCGATAATCTCAGGGGTCTTTTTCAACCTACCTGGTGCTCAGATTCTATGATCTGCCCCTCAGGAGTTCAAGCGGGAGCTCTACCAGTGCAAGGTGGACGTGGAGAGCCTACGGCACCAGGCTGGCCCAGGGGGGCAGGGGCAGGGGGACCCCCCGGCCCCGCTCAGCGACTTCCGACAGCGCTGGGACCGCCTGGAGGAGGAGATCGTCAGCCGCCAGGTAAGGGGGGCTCGGGCAGTGGGGGGCGGTCCCAGGCATGGGACAGGGATGGGGTGGCAGCTCTGGGAGGCGGTGGTGGCGTGTGAGCTGGTGACCAGATCGGCCACGAGATGGGCACGAGGTGAGAGCTGCAGCAGTGTGGGTGTCGTGGGGCTGGGTGCATGGTGCTGGGTGCATGGGGCAGGGCTGACCCCACCGATCGGGTGCCTGACCCTGCCCTTGCCTCTAACAGCACCAGCTGGAGGCAGCCCTGCTGGGCCTGGGGCAGTTCCAGCACCAGCTGGAGGAGCTGCTGCAGTGGCTGTCCCACACCTCGGAGCAGCTGCAGGGCCCCACGCTGCTGCGCCTCGACCTGCAGAGCTGCGAGATCGAGCTGGCCAAGCACAAGGTGAGGGCGGCTGTGGCACGGGGCCCCCTGCACGCCCCATCCCGGGCTGCCCCCAGGCTGCTGGCTGCGTGCCTCCAAGGGGACCGGGCACAGGTCCTGCCAGTGGGGTCCCATTGCACCGTGCGGTCCCTCTCGAGGTCCTCCTGCTGCGGGGCCGTGTTGTGCCGCAGGACACTGCTCCCCCCAGCTCCTGGCACTGCCCAGCCCATCGCAAGGCGTCGAGCCCCGGGGCGATGGTGGCTTGGCCGGGCAGGTCTGTGGTTCGGGGCGGGCGGCGTGAGAACGCGTCCCCTCCCGCGGTGACAGCATGGAAGGAGTGAGCTGTCTCCTTCCCCTTGCCCGGGCACGCTCGTGCCGTGCCTGCCGTCAGCAGGGTGCTGCGAGGTGCACGTCGGTGGGGAGGGGGGACCATGCACGGCAGGGTGGCCCCAGCCTTATCCATCCCCCATCCTAGCAGCCCCCCTGCCACGAAGCAGCAAATTTGTTGCCTTGCACCTGCCCTGTGCCACTTGGAGGACAAAAGCCCCTGCTCTGGGCGTCCCTTGCCAGGGCACTCCCCAGTCCCCGTGCCGTGATGGCAGCGTTGGAGCGGGCGGGGAGGTGGCCCAGGTGCCCGGCGGGGTGCGAGGTGCTGGCCCTGATGGCCTCGTGCTGGCCCCAGGTGCTGAGGAACGACGTGATGTCCCATGCCCGCACCGTGCAGTCCGTCAACGAGGCCGGGCAGGGCTTGCTGCTCTCCAGCCTGGGGGACAGCGTGGAGGGGCTGCAGCGCAGCCTGCAGCAGCTCAACCAGCGCTGGGACGTGGTGCAGAGCGAGACCGAGAGCCGCCAGCTGGAGCTGGAGAACAACCTCAGCCAGGTGCAGAGCACGGCGGCCGCCCCCGCTGCCACGTCCCCTGCTCACGGAGGCAGTGCTGAGCCCCCTGCGCCTCCCCCCAGGTGCAGGACATCACGCTGGAGATCACGGAGCTGCTGCAGTGGCTGGAGCACGTGGAGCTGCAGCTCTTCTTCTCCAAGCCGGCGTGGGGCCACCCAGACACCACCAAAGAGAAGCTCGCCGCTCACCTGGTGAGCTCCCTGCGCCCCCCAAGCTGCAGAGACATCCCTGGGGGGTGCCCCCCTCTGCCCTCTCCACGCTGGGGTGCTGGGACCTTTCTCTGCCTCCTCCCCTCCCCAGATGGCAGAGCCCCTCTGCTCCTCTCCCTGCCTGCCCAGGCCCCCCGGTCACAGCTGGAGCGTTGTGCTCCCCGTCCCACTTGGGGCAGGGACACGGGGCTGTGACACCGGGCTCTCTCGGCAGGAGCTGTGCAAGGAGATGGAGTCCAAGCAGGAGACGTACGACGCCGTGCGGGACCGCCTGCAGCGGCTGCTGGGCTCCTGCCGCGCGGCACGGCCCTGCAGCACCGAGCACAGCCTGCGCATCCTGGAGCAGAAGTGGGAGAGCGTCCACGCCGAGGCACAGGAGAGGAAGGTGCGTAGGGGCATGGGGGGTGCTGCCCACCCGGGGGTGCGGACCCTGCCCAGCTCGGGGGTCTGCGGGCGCCCGTCCCGGTCAGCATCCCCGCTGTGCCTGCAGGAGCGCCTGGCCGAGGGGCTGACCGTCACCACCGAGTTCCACGGCACCATGCAGGAGCTGCTGCGCTGGGTGGCACACGCAGAGGAGCTCCTCAGCTCCCCCGCGCCCCCCAGCTTCATCCTGGACACTGTCACCGTGCAGATCCAGGAGCACAAGGCAAGTGTGGCCGGGCTGGCAGGGCTCCGTCCCACCCGCAGGGGGACACCCCAGCGTCCAGTGGGCTGGCTCCTGGGGGCTGGGGTCCTCCAGGAGAGGTCCTGAGCAGCACCAGGCACTGGCACCATCAGGGGAAATCCCCCTGGGCTGCCCCCAGGGCTCCCCCCATGTGGCAGTGGTGTGGGTCTGCCCTGTGGTTCAGGGGCTTGCCCACGCACCCCAGCCACGTCTGGCTGCCCTCAGGCCCTGGTGAAGGAGGCAAACGCCCACGGGGAAAAGCTGAGCAGCCTGGAGGCCGTGGCGTCGCGCCTGAAGGACTTCAGCAGGAAGCAGGACGGAGCCGTGATCCAGAACCTCGTGCTGACGGCCAAGGAGCGGCTGGGCAAGGTGCTGCAGCACACGGCGGAGCGCGGGGCGGCTCTGGAGGAGGCTCGCAAGCGCACCAAGCAGGTACCCGGCTGGGGTGGCGAGGGCACGGGCCCTGCAGGGAGCTGTGCCGCGCTGCCCGTGGCTCCTCGGCGCTGTGCCCCGGCGCTGTGCGCCCTGCACGAGTCCCCTCTCCCCGCTGCAGTTCAGCGAGTCCCGGCGGCTGCTCCTGGACTGGATGGACGAGGCGGAGCAGGCCCTGGAGGCGCCGCAGGACACGGCCACGAGCCAGGAGGAGATCAAGTGCCAGCTGGCTGAGCACAAGGTGAGGGGCGCGCTGCCCCGTGGGGGAGTCCCAGTGGGCAAACTGCCTGGCCAAGGGCAGTGGGAGCAGAGCTGGGGGCTGTAGAGGGGCTCCCCAGCTCCCAGCCCACCCCACACCACGGCTGGGCATCGTTCCACATCTGCCCCTGGGTGAGGGGCATCAGCACCCCTGGCTGCCCCGCTGAGCCCCGGGGTCCGGGCTCACCCCCCCTGCCCGCAGGCTTTCCAGAGGGAGCTGCGCTCGAAGCGGCCGGTGTACGAGGCCACGCTGCGCAGCGGGAGGGCCCTGCGGGAGAGAGCCCGGCTCCCCGAGGACCTGCAGCCGCTGGAGGAGCTGCTGGGGGAGCTGAAAGAGCGCTGGGACGCGCTGTGCAGCCGGGCTGCCGAGAGGTCAGGGCATCTGCCCCGTGCCGGAGGGTGGGGTGGGATTGGGGTTGGGGATGGGATGGGGGTGGGATGGGATGGGATGGGATGGGATGGGATGGGATGGGATGGGATGGGATGGGATGGGATGGGATGGGGTAATAAATGGCTCAGTCTTCAAAACAGGACTATAATCAAAGTTTACAATTTATTAAAGGAATAGAGGTAAGCAAACAGTGCTGGGTGCGCCGGGAGTCTCTGCTCCACCAGGACGCACACCAGTTACATCAAGCAGCTGATTTTTATGCTCCTAGGCTGATACAAATTCATTGCTACTTCTAAAAAAAACCAGGGTTATTATAATTAGTTTCCGGAATCCAAGCCCTCCTACTGGAGCATGTATATCAGTCTCTGGTGGTCCCTCTAGGGGTCTCTGGGGGTCTCTCGTGCTGAAGGCTCATAGTCTTCCTCCCTCTTGTCCTTCTCCTTTGTCCAACTTGACTGGATGTCAGAGACTTGTGCAGCGTCCCCTACAAGCTTTGTCTTTTAGTTGTTCTCCAGCTCTCCCCGTCTCCTTAATCTCCTGGCCAGATAGCAGAGACTTGCATCGTGTCCCATGCAATAGTCATAACAGTTAGCAGTTATTCTGAAACCCCCCAGACATCAGAGACTTCAAGGAAAAGCCTACAAAAGCATTTCCCTTCAAGCTCTCTATTGACACAAATTGCTAAACCATTCCTTTGCAAGATACAAAAATTACGTACATTAACCACTCCGTTTTTCTTAGACTTGTGGTTACACAAGGGTCTGTAAGGCAGAAGGTCACGTTCAGCATACCATGTGGCCCCAGCACTGTTCCATACTGACACGAATCAGATGAACAGATCTCACAATGGGATGGGATGGGATGGGGATTGGGGGTGGGATGGGATGGGATGGGATGGGATGGGATGGGATGGGGATGGGATGGGATGGGATGGGATGGGATGGGATGGGATGGGATGGGATGGGATGGGATGGGATGGGATGGGATGTCTGTGCTCCACTCGCCTCGGGACCCCCAGCTTTGTCGCTTTGGGACCCCCAGCCTCAGCACCACTGGGCTATGACCCATGGGGATAGATCCGACCCCAGCCACGGGCAATCCCAGGCACTCAGGGCTGTGGTTGCTCCCCTGCAGGCAGCACAAGCTGGAGGAGGACCTGCTCTTCTCAGGCAAGTTCACCGACGCGCTGCAGGCTCTCATGGACTGGTTGTACCGGGCTGAGCCGCAGCTCAGTGAGGACGTGCCCGTCGGAGGGGACCGGGACCTGGTCAGCGACCTGATGGACAAGCATAAGGTGGGCGTCCTGGGCCGTGCAGGGGGCTGCCTGCTGCGTCCTGGCCCCGTGGGACCCCTGGGGAGTGACAGCCCTAGGGCAGCCCTGGGCTCAGCACCAGCCCTGCCCGCAGCCCCCCGTCACACCGAGCAGTGCTGGGGTGCCCCACGCACCCCACGCACCCCACGTACCGTGCACCTGGGGCACTTGCAGAGCCACTGGGACCCCCGGCAGCTCCCACTCCCTCCTGCTCTCTCCCCCTCAGGTCTTCCAGAAGGAGCTGGGCAAGCGAGCCAGCTGCATCAAGATGCTGAAGCGCTCGGTGCGGGACCTGACCCGCGGCAGCAGCAGCGTGGACTCCCAGTGGCTGCAGAAGCAGATGGAGGAGCTGAGCACGCGGTGGGACCTGGTCTGCAAGCTGTCTGTCTCCAAGCAGGCCCGGCTGGAGGCTGCGCTCCGGCAGGTGTGGGTGGTGACCGGGGGGCTGCAAGGTCTGGGGCTGCAGCTGGTGCCCCCCACGGGAAGGCTGCACGCATCTGTGCATTGCGGGGTGCTGCAGGGGGTGCACAGCTGTGGGTGGCCGTGCATTGCGGGGTGCTGTGTGGGGTGCTGTGGGGCTGTGGGTGGCCGTGCATTGCGGGGTGCTGCGGGGCTGTGGGTGGCCGTGCATTGCGGGGTGCTGTGTGGGGTGCTGGGCTGTGGGTGGCCGTGTCGCAAGGTGCTGCAGCAGGTGCCAGGTTGGGTGCTGCAGGCACCTGCTGGAGGTGCACGTGTACGGAGGGCGCCTGTGCACGAGGCAGGGTGCTGCACGGGGGTGCCCTCCTCAGAGGGGATGTACTGATGGGGGTCAGGGAAAGTTGTGTCCCGAGGAGTGTTTGGGGTGAAGATCATCCCCACTGTCCTGCTGTGGGGTCTCAGCGGGGCTGGGGCTGCACAGAAGGGGCTGTGCCGGGTGCCTCGTGGGCAGCTGCAGGGCTGGGGGCTCGCCAGGGGCGGGGGGCTGCAGGGTGGGCACTGAGCAGGTCCCGGGCTGTCGTGGCAGGCAGAGGAGTTTCACACCCTGGTGCAGTCCTTCCTGGGGCGCCTCTCCGAGTCAGAGAAAACCCTCAAGTACGGCGTCTTCCCCGAGGAGGAGGCGGCTGTGCAGGAGTGCCAGAACCAGCTGCAGGTCAGTGCCAGCCCCCACCTCCAGGCACATCTCCGTTCTTGCTCCAGGATGTCCCATTGCTTGTCCCATTGGGGGTCTGGGGCCCCAAGCACCCTGAGGCATGGAGATTTGGGGCCCCAAGCACCCCACGCCCTTCCCCTGCCTGGATGCCCGGCTGGGTGGGAGCAGGTCCCGGTGTCTCGGGGGTCTGCAGCGGGATGTGGGGGGCTGGGACCCCGTGGTACCACACTCCGTATGCCCTCCCAGGAGCTGATGAAGTCCCTGCAGTGCCAGCAGCTGGAGCTGGAGTGCATCACCTCGCTGGGGGAGGAGATCCTCTCCACCAGCCACCCAGACTCCATCATCACCATCAAATCCTGGGTCACCGTCGCCAAGAGCCGCTTCCAGGAGGTGAGCTGCGAGCCCTGGCTCCGTCTGTCCCTGCAGGGAGCAGCCACACAGCCCCATGCAGCCCCCTACAGCCCCACACAGCCCCCCACAGCCCCACACAGCCCCACACAACCCCACACAGCCCCCCACCCCGGGGCCATGCAGGGGAGCACCCACGGCCTCTCCAGCCCCACCGGGCTGGTGGTGGCTCATTCCATGCGCATGAGATGGCGTCCCCTGGTTCCTGGGGAGCGGAGTCTCGGGGATCCCCACACAGACCCCGCTCCCCCAGAGGCTCCCTGCTCTGTGGGTTTGCAGGGAAGAGCGTTCCCAGTGCTCCCCGTGTTCCCAGTGCTCCCCGTTGCCAGTGCTCCCCGTTCCCATTCCTCCCGGTTCCCATTCCTCCCTGAACGGGTCTGTCCGGTTTGGCCAATCCCCGCACAAAGCCCTCAGTGAGCAGGGATCCGTGCATCTGATCTGAAGGTGCCCCAGGGTGTGGAGCAGCACGTCCAGTCCCAACACCTGCGGGGCTGCCCTCACCCGCAGCCCCGCTCACCCCAGATAGCGAGGATGCTGCGGGGGCAGTGAGCACGTCTGCAGCAGCACGGCCCTGGGTACAGGCACGTTTGGCCACCACCCGCAGGGATGTGCTGAGCAGTGGTGCTCAAAGCACTGGTGGCAGCCCCAGGAGCTGCAAGGTCCCTGGCACATGAGGGGCAGAGCTGTCAGCCCTGACAGCGGGCCCCTGAGCCTGCCCCACGGGCAGGGATAGGTCCCGGAGCAGCCACATTCTTGCCCCATGCTCCCGCCCCATGGCACATTGGGTCCTGGAGCACTCATGTCCCTGCCCAGTGCTCCTATTCTGTGGTCACTGGGGCAGCTGGACAGGATTTTGTGCTCCTGCCCCACGGCAGGGCTGGGCCGTGGCTCCCCAGATGCAGACTTCACCCCCCTGCAGCAGTGCGCAGCTGGGGCTGCCGGCATGGTGCCACCACCGCGTGTCCGGCACCGCGCCACCGCCAGCCCCGGTGGCTCAGCCCCTGCCCCTTGCTGTAGGTGCTGAGCTGGGCGCAGCAGCAGGGCGAGAGGCTGCAGGCCCAGCGGGCCAGCCTGGCGGCCGAGCGGGAGGAGATGGCCCAGCTCGTCGACTGGATCACGGCTGCCGAGGAGGCGCTGAGCCTGCGGGACCAGGAGCCGCTGCCGGAGGAGGCTGAGCAGCTGGAGGAGCTCCATGCCCAGCACGCGGTGAGGGCCCCGCAGACGGCTCCCTGCCATGCCGGGGGCTCGCCGTCCTCCCCGTGCCCTCCTGGCACTGGTGGGAGCGCTCAGCCCCACCGAGGACCTTTGGGTGCATTCGTGGCTGCAGCCGGCACATGCACGATGCTGCGGCGCTCTGGGTGCATGCCTGAGCTGCTGCTTCTGCTGCGAGGGATGCTGATGCAGGAGCCCCCAGGGCTGGTTGGTGGGTGGCCACGCTCTTGGCTTCAGCCCCGTGCTCCAGCTGTGGGTGGCATGCTTGGGGGACAATCTGGCACAGCCGGTGGGTGCTTAGTGCCAGCCTCCTGTGGCAGGTGTTCATGGAAGAGCTGAACCGCAAGCAGCCTGACGTGGAGAAGGTCACTAAGAGCTGCAAGCAGAAGCTGGCCACTGAGCTGGGGCCACCATCCGCCCGCAGATTGGCCACACGTAAGAGCCCCTTTGCCCCCACGCTGCGCCCCGGGCCCCCAGCCGTGCCCTCACCCCTGTCTGTGCTGGCTGCAGGGCGCCGCAGCGTGGGGAAGGCGCAGGGCGCTCCGGCAGTGCCACTTGGGGGGCTGGAGCCCCAGACGCCCCTCATGGCCCAGCTCCTGCACCGCTGGCAGCAGCTCTGGCTCCTGGCTCTGGACAGGCAGTACCGGCTGGAGACGGCCCTGCAGCGCCTGCGGGAGGTAGGGGCAGTGCTGCAGCCCTGGCTCGTGCCAGCAGCTCCTTTCCTGTGCATGGGTGGGGATGGCCCCGGGGTCAGTGGAACAGCACAGGCAGAGCCAGGAGCCTTCCCTGACCCTGTCCCCACGTGTCCCCATGGGCAGGGGGTGACCCCAAGGGACCAGAGCTAGCCTCACTGGAGCCTGCAGCTCCCCAGTGCAACCCCGAGCTGGGGGTCCTGGGTCCCCTTCGCCCATCTTTGATGGGTCAGGGCCGGGAGCAAGCTGGTGGCACAGCATCAGGGCTGAGCCCCAGCGTGGGTCCTGAGGTGGGGGCTGAGCAGCTTTCCTGCAGCCGTGCTAATTCCTCTGTGCCTCTCCGAGCTGGAGGAGTTTGCTCACTTCGACTTCGGGGTCTGGAGGAAGCGTTACATGCAGTGGATCAGCCAGATGAAGTCCCGGGTCCTGGATGTTTTCCGTGGCATCGACAGGGACCAGGATGGGCGCATCAGCCAGCGGGAGTTCATCGAGAGTGTCCTCTCCTCCAGTGAGTGTGCCCAGGACCCGTGGTGGGCTGGGGCTGGCTCACGGGGCTGTGCCCCCCGGGACGGGGCAGTTTGGGAGCGGCGGGGGCAGGAGCTGACAGCCGGGCACCCCCCTGGGAGGAGGACCCCGGCTCAGTGCCAGCGCTGGCTGGGCTTGGTACCGGGGTGCGCAGGGCACAGCAGGGCTGAGGGTCCCCGTCCCTCCCCAGAGTTCCCCACCAACGTCCTGGAGATGAACGCTGTGGCGAGCATCTTTGACATGAACGGGGACGGCTTCATCGACTACTACGAATTCGTCAGCACCCTGCACCCCAACCGGGACCCGCTGCGCCGGACCGCGGATGCCGACCAGATCCAGGACGAGGTACGGCCAGGAGGCCGCGGTGGCACGAGGCTGGTGCCCGGCCATGGGCCTGACCCACGCGGGCTCCTCTTCCAGGTGAACAGGCAGGTGGCCCAGTGCAACTGTGCCAAGCGCTTCCAGGTGGAGCAGATCAGCGCCAACAGGTACCGGGTAGGTGCCACCCCCCCCTGCTGCCCCTCGCTGTTGTCACCCCCCAGCTGGGGGTCCTGGGCTTGCTCTGACACCCACACACAGCCTGCACCGTGCTGAGGTCCCCCAGCTCCACGGCCCCTGCTGTCAGAGCCTTTGCAGTGGCGCAGAGAGGGCACGGGAGAGCCACCCATGTCCCATGGGATCCCTGTCCCCAGGGGGATGTGGGACACGGGTGGCTGCCCCCTTTCCCACATGCCTATGGCAGCAGCACCCATTCTGCGCCCCAGCAAGGGGCTCCTTCCCCTGCCTGTCTGCGGGGAAAACCCAGCATCTGTGCTGATGGAGGGGGGACCCGGTGGGCTGGTGCCAGGCACCGCTGGGTGCTGGGTCCTGCCCTCGTGCCCAGCTCCCGGCCCAGCCAAACCCCTCCAGTGCCCTCACACGCCTCTCCCCACAGTTTGGGGAGTCGCAGCAGCTGCGGATGGTGCGGATCCTGCGCAGCACCCTGATGGTGCGGGTTGGCGGGGGCTGGATTGCGCTGGATGAGTTCCTGGTGAAGAACGACCCCTGCAGAGGTGGGCACGGCCGTCCCTGCGCCCAGCCGGTGCCCCGCGGGTCTGGGCTGCGTGCTCCCGGGTCTCACCGCCTCTGCTGTCCCTCCCCAGTGAAGGGCAGGACCAACCTGAAGATCAACGAGAAGTACCTGTCCCCAGATGCCTTCGGGGCCACCGCGGCCAAGTGCGCGGGGAACCAGTCGGCCCCCTCCTCCAAAGTGCTGTCCCCCAGCCGCTCCAACTCCAGCCTCAGCCTCTACAGCAGCGCCTCAGCCCCCAGCAGCCCCCTGGCCAGGAAGGTAAGGGCTGGGGAGCCCCGAGCCCCCGTCCTAGCAGCGCTGACCCCCCCCCAACACTACTTCAGCCCCTGCGTCTCTTCCCTCCCCAGTCAGTGCTGCGGAGGACGCGCTCTGGGGACCGGTGCCCCCGCTCCCGGGGCTCCCTGCTGCCCGACGGGGCCGAGCTGCAGTTCACCGCGGCCGAGGAGAGCCCGGACGTGGCACCCCCAGGTGAGGGCTGTGCCGACGTGGGGTGGGGGCTGTGGGGCTGCTGTGGGCTGGGCAGGCCTGGGGGAGCAGGGGGGTGAAGCATGGGGAGCAGGAGCCGTCCAGGAGGTGGGGGTCAGGGTGGGGTCTGTCCCCCAGCCCCAGGAGCGAGGCAGCCGCTCCAGCCCTGCCCCTTCCTTTCAGAGCCGCCCGAGGGGTCCCCCCCAGAGCGCTGCAGCCCCTGCCGCTGAGCCCCCCCAGCCACCCGCCCTGCGCCCAGCACCCTTGGCCGGCCCCACTCAGGACTCTTCTCCCCGGAGGCCGCCCGCCACGGGGCTGAGGACGGCGAAGCTGCAGCCGTGCGCCCCACGGGTCTCCGGGCCGAGGGTGGCCGCCCTGCGCGCCCCGGTACCGCGCTGCGGCCCTGCGAGAGGGTGCCCACCGGCAAGGGCTGAGCTGTCTGTCCATCACTGACCCCAGCATATATGCAAGCGTCCCCCGACACACACCAAACCACCCCCAGGCTCTGGCTGGCACATCCCCCAGCCCCACCACCCCCCCCGGCAAGGCGGGTGCCACAGTTGGAGCACCCGGGGCAGCTGCGGGCGGCCTGGATCATCGCGGTGCTGGGCTCCCCCAGGGTCCCAGTGGCCCCTGTGCCCCGGGGATGGCCCCCGCCTGTCTCCCCCAGGCTCCTGTGCTCTTAAGGCAGCTGCTGAGGCCCCGGACATTTGGCACCACCCGGCAGGGAGCCTGCCCTCGCTGCCTGCCCGCACCTGGTGAGAGGTGGGAGGTGGCAGGGTGCCGCAGCCGGGCGCCGGGGCCCCTCACCGGGTGCAGAGCCCCATTTCTGGTGCTAACCCTCACCCCGTGGGCCTGTGGTGTGTGCGCACCAGGCCCTGGCCACAGCTGTCCCCCGCCCCGGCAGGGCTGGGGCTGCCACCGGCGGGGGTCCCCGTGCCCCCATCCCGCCCGCAGCACCCCTCGGGTGGCGGGTCCCTGCCCTGCTGACGCATGTTCACCGCCACCCCGCTAACCGGACAGCAGTAGAGCTGAATGTAACCCTGGCCGGGGCACGGCCCTGCCAGCCACAATAAAGAGTAGATTTCTTTTTCTATAAGCACCCGGGGCTTGCTGCCGTCTGTCTGTCTGCTCACCCTGCTGCCTGTCCCTGCGCAGCAGCGCGGGGGGGCAGTGCTCCCAGCCCCGTGCCACCGGCGGAGACGCGCAGCGCTGGGGCCGAGGCTGACAAGCCCGGGCTGCCACCGCGGGTGCCAGCAGGCGCCGTGCCACGTTACCTCCTTTCTGAGGAAAGCGTTGCTGGGGTTCCTGCTGTGCCCAGCACCTCTCCCCAGGGAGGGGGGCCAGGCCTGTGTCGCGCCCCACGCCCATGGCAGGCATCGCCGGGACACGCGGCATCGCTGTCCCCGTGTGCCCGCTGCCCTGCTCTGGCCCCACAGCCTCCAGACGCGAGGTCCCCGGCCAGCACGGCCCCGCAGTGGTGTTACTGGTCCGGCAGTGCCAGGGGAAGCTGGGATGGGGATGTGTCCTGTGGGGATGTCCTGTGGGGATGTGTCCTGCTTTAAACCAGGTTAAACCACAACAGGATGCATGGCTGCAGGACAGCCTGGGCCTGGGTCCCGAGGCACTGCTCATGGTGGAGATGTGGCTGTGCCCCGCAGGGACACCCTGTGTGGGGACTGTCCCCTGGTGTCACAGCAGCAGAGCCCTTCCCTGGCACCTCTCTGTGTTGGGAAATGAGTCCGAGACCCCCATGACCCAGGGCAGCCACAGCCCTCTGCTGATCTTCCAGTGGGGTCTGGGATTTGCCTGTCCACCTCCTCCCTTACCCTCGTCCTGTTGGCTCTCATGGGATTTAGGGATTTAGTCCCACTTCTACACCACTGTCCCCTAAAACTGCCTCTGCACTCATTTTCCTGAACAAAGTATTTCTGCGTTGGACACTGCCAAAGGGGGACAGGTCTGGAAATGCACCAGTGCCCGTGCCCCACCCAGCCCACACGAAAGGGCCCCTGCAGCCCCCTGACCACCACTGAGCCCCCCTGCGCCCCGCAGAGCAGAGCATTCACCAACGCACCCACATTGCTCCGCGCGGTGCTGCCGGCGTGGGCTGGGGCGGCCGACACGGATTGCACTGCACATTCCTCTGCCTGTGGAAATGGCATCCACCCCTCCCAGGCGGGGAACACACCCCGCACCACCGGCACCACCAGCCTGTGTCAGCCGCATCCAGGGCCCCAGGCACCGACTCTGGCTGGGACGCAAAGACAACAGGCGTGGGGCAGCGGGGGGAGCGCGTGTGGCCCCACATTGCTCATAGGGCTGGGCAGGCACCGGCACCCACAGAGGCCTGAGGAGCACAGGGACCCCCTGCGGCTGCGCCATCCTCATGGCAGCACAGTGCCAGGGAGCTCTCCATCTCCTGCTGCTTGTCCTGCTGTCGGGGGAGCGTCACAGGGCTGCAGCACATTGCCTTGCTTTGCTGCACGAGTGGTTCGTGGGGGCAGCGAGCGAGCGGGCAGCTGCCAAGTGCAGGGACGCAGCGCTGGAGGCTCAGCCCCAGATGGGCAGCACGGCCGGGCACAGGCAGCCTAAGCCTCCAGCATCCGAGCTGTCCTGGTGGAGCTGGGTTTGTGGGGCCCTGCTTGCGTGGTGGAGCAGCCCTACCACCAGCGGGTCCCCACGGAGGGCCATGGGGATGCTGCCCTGTTCCCCAACCGCCCCGGTGCCTGCCCTGGCTGTGGGAACCCCAGGAGCAGGGTTCAGCCCCGTGTGCTCGCCCTGCGCACCCCGCACAGCCCCAGACGGAGCCAGCTCACATCCCTGGGCCCCATCCTGATCCTGCAAAGCCAATGGCCAGGCACAGGGACAGAATGCCCCTGGGGCTGGAGGCAGTGGCATATTGGGGACAGCAGCTGACAGGACAGCTTTTGGTGGCTTTGGTAATGCCGGGGTCAATGTCTGCGTGCCAGCCCTGCTCCTGAGCTGGGGCCAGTGCATGTGCAAGCCCGCGTGTGCGCCACTTTCATGGGCACGTGTGTGTGATCCCCCCACTCTCACCTTCCTGCACAAGGCAGTTTTCGTGTGTGTGAGTGCAGGTACCTGGCAGCAGAGCCGCAGCAGATACCTCCTGGTGCTGAGCTCAGCGTCTGGCTTGAGCCCCACCGCGTCCCAGCTGGGCACGGGCCAGCTCCTGCACACCTCGCCCCATCCCAGCCTGTCCCAGCTGCACTGCCCGTGCTGGTGTGCCCTTGTGGGGCCACGCTCCCTGCAGCTGGCCAGCACAGCCTGGCAGCCTCAGGAGAGGCACCCCGTGGGGCACACAGCGTGGTGCTGGCTGAGCACCTCCAGCGCTGCTCCCTTGCTGCAGTGCCCTCCCCGCAGTGCCCACCAGCCTGCCGTGGTGGTCTCCTTCAGCTATCCCCGCCAGCTGAGGGGGTCCTGGCCACCCTGGGATCATTCCTGCACCGCTGAGCATCCACATCCCCATGTGCACGCCTCTGGGCTGCCCGTGAGCTTCCCGTTGCCCCCAGCAAGCCTCTATCAGCAGCCCGTCTGGCTCAGCAGCCCGGGGAGCAGGGGATTCACTGCGGCTCCTGGGAGCGAACAGAATCCTCCAGACTGAGCCACAGCCGCCCATGGGCCGGGAGAGGTGCCCTGGCTGGTTTGAGCCCTTTTCTTTGTTAGCAGCTAAGATGTTTTGGTTAAGCCACAGACGGTTAGTTCAAATGCATACGCATGAATTGCAACCACACATTACTGCTAATTACCGTAACCAGATGCTTTCCCCTGTGTTTGGGCAGCGTGCCCAAAAAAGCAAAAGCAAAACATTGTCGGCAGGCGTAGCAGCAGAACAACCTAGCACAGCCCAGCACAGTTCCTCTTCAGGAAGGCAAGGGGATGATCTCCTTCGGCTGCCTGACTCCTGGCAAGATGTGTCTTGCTGTCCTGGCCCCCGTGCACCGTGCCTGGCCCTGCTGCAGCCATGGGACCATCCTTGCTCCCAGCCGAGGGCAGCACAGCCTTGGGGAGGCCGTGGATGGGTCCAGGACCCCACTAGAGGCCAGCGGGTCAGCCTCGCCTGCGGGAAGCTCTGCGGTGACGGCACCACTCCAACATGTTGGTGCTGATCCCTCTGCAGAGCCAAGCACTCATCACTGTTTGCCTTTGGATTAAGGCTCCCCGGCTCCTCCTGGGAGTGAAACCTCTGCAACAGTCACTGGCAATGCCCATGTGGCCATTGGAAACCCACGCTGGTTTTCGGCACACAGCCTCCTCCCCGTGTACCACTGTAACAGGGGACAGCTACAGAGCTGGCTGCTGGCCCTGCCAGGGGGAAACTGCATCCACTGCTGGTGCTGCCCCGTTTGGACATCACCCCCAGCTGTGGGGCATCGCCTGCCAACGGCACCTGGGCCAGCCCCTCTCTTGGTGCCACGGTTCTGCTGCCCAGGGTGGGCCCGAGGGTGTTTGCAGTCCCGGAGCACTGGGCTCTGCACTGCTCAGGCAGCGGGCATGGAGCGGGTCCCTGCGTGGGCACACGGCTACACCGAGCACGGGGCTGTCTCCGCGTGGGGTGCAGCGCTGCTGCCATGGGGACCCACAGCAGGAGCCATCTCCATGTGCCTGCTGGACCACGCTGTGCCAGGAGCTCGCCCATCCAGCCCCGCGCCTGGATACCGGCAGCTCTCCAGACAACACACTCCTACACACCATAAACACCTTGCCCAAGCAGCATGTATCCGTCCTCCCCGGCACAGCGCAGGGCTGGCACCAGGACGGCGCTGCAGCGTGACCCCGCAGCGCCCAGATCCCCAGAGGCCCACCTCCCCGTGGCTGGTGCCTGATTATTTTGGGGCCCACCAAGCACCCGTGGCCCCGGTGATAGGAGCAGGGGTGCACAGGGTGGAGATGGGGAGCCGGGTGTGGGGCTGGGAGCGGGGTCCGGGGAAAGGCGTGGGGCTGGTGACGGAGGCAGAGGAGGGGTGCACGGGTGACTCAGGCAGCAGTAGGGTGGCTTGGGCATGTTTGGGGCAGTGCGGGCTCCACCTGCACATCCATGTTGGAAAACAGGATGAGGGCAACATTGGGGGGGCAGGAATGGGGGTCCCCCACTCCCTCCTCAGCTGCCTTGGTGCCAGCTGGAAGCTGGGGTCTGTCAGCCCTGCAGCTGCAGCCCAGGGTGTGGACACACCGCTGTGGCCAACTGGGCAGGGGACGGACACACGGCAGGGGATGGACACACGGCAGGGGACGGACACACGGCAGGGGACAGACACACAGCATGCGCGGGGTGATGGGGACGGCAGGGGCTGCCATGGGAGGGGAGCTGGGTGAGAGCTGCCACCAGGATGAGGTGCTGGGGCATTTTAGCGTTCAGTGGGAGAGTTGCTGGGGTCAGGGGTGGTTATGGGGCTGCTGCGAGATGGGGAAAAGGAGGAGAGGCTGCTGGAGATGAGAGCAGCGCAGGCACAAAGGCCCTGTTGTCTCTCCCCATTTCTCCCTCCTCTTCCACAGAGGGCACTGCCCAAACAGGTGGTTGCCTGTGGGACAGGACCACCGATGGGCATCGTGGCCAGCTGGGGACCCGCGTGCCCCTTGCCCTGCTCAGAGCCCGGCCCACTCCTGCCCGAAGGGCACAGGGCAGGCTGCGGTGATGGGGCACAGGGACGCAGCCCAGCGGGGGCCATGTGCAGCCAGACCACGGCAAGGGGGGCGTTGGGCATAGATGAAGCCGTGGGGAGGGCTGATCCATGAGCTTATGGCACAGGGCTGGGCTGGTGTGTCATCCCCAGGGGCGGGGAAGGGAAAGGTTTTAAACGCGCTCCAGTCCCCGGCAGGAAGCAGCGGTGAAAGCAGCGGGACTGCGGGCACCTGCCGGGCGGACCCGTCCTGCGACCACCGTGGGCAGGTAGGAGAGGTCTGGAGCAGAGGGGCCCAGCGGGGCACCGTGGGGCTGTGCCAGGAGCCGAGGCAGCCGGAGGCCCTCGCGCAGGTCTCAGGCATGCGAGGAATGCGGCACTGCCTGCACTTGCACTGGGCAGCGGCCAGGTGACAGTGGGCATAGGGCAACAGCCGCACGGCGCTACGGCACGGCACCGCCAGCCCCCGAGCACAGCGGGAGGATGCTGACCCCTGCCCCTGGCATGCCCAGGAGTGGGTCGGGGTCAGGAACCTCCTGGGAGGATGGCTCCTGGTTAAAGCTCCCACTGCCCTGGGGCTCCAGCAGGCACTGGCGAGGCTCGTAGGGGCGGCAGGTGCTGAGGATGGGGCAGGCATTGGGGCGGTGCGTGGCAGGCACCGTGACACGGTGCCCGGTAAGGCGGGGATATGTGGGGCTGGGGCACTGCCCCACGTGGGCATGGTGCGACCCTGGGGGCTTGCTGCGGTGGAACCTGCTCTGGGCACCTGCACCTAATGGTCACTGGCACCACCAGGGACTGCGTCCCCTGCGCCCCTCCCCAGACGGGCACTGCCCCAAAAGGGGTTCTGGGCTGCCCCCAGTCCTATTCAAAGCAAGGACCCCCCAAGCTCCTCTCCCTGTTCCTATCGCCCCTCTGTCACTGCCCCAGCAAACTCCTCTGTTGCTCTCCCTCCCCCTGAAATGCCCCCAGCGTTAGCCCCTTCCACCCGGGGCCACCCCACAGCTCTCTCCACCACCCTGCCGGGCTCCCACCCACAGCCCTGCTCCCTTCCCTCTGCTCTGGGGCCTCCCCCGGCAGGCACACCTCCTCCCCGAAACCAAGCCCCCCACCCTGCAAGTAAAACCTGTCCCTTCTCCCCATCTCTCCCTCCCCAGCTGGCGCCAGCCCTGTTTGTGCGGATGTGCAGGGGGCGTCCGTGGAGCACCCGGGCAGGCGTAGCTGGAATGCGCCCGCGCGCTGGGTGTGAGGCAAAGCCTCCCTGCCGTGACTCACGCTGGCGAGGGGGTTGTGCCGAGCGGCTCCAGGGGCACAAAGGGGATGAGCAGACCTGAGGTACCATCTAAGGCCATGGCTTGTGTCAGAGCCAGCGCGTTTCCTGACGCAGCCAGAAAGGTGCGGAGCAGCGAGTACCGCTGCCAGGGAGGCTGCCCACGCTAGGACAGACTGTGGCCTCAGGGAGGGCTGTGGATGCCAGCGCCTGAAACGCAGCCAGGAATCGACCTGGCTTTGTAGGCAGAGCCAGTTACTAAAAGTTTCCATGGGGCTGACGCTTTCTGATTACCGGGAGAAGCGTCCTTCCTCCACCTGCACACCCGCTGCCTCCTCCCCGTGCTGCTCTGGGGACAGCCCCGAGGAGCAGCAGCCCCAGCTCTGCCCCAGGGGGTCTCTGCCCCAGCCCCTGACCCTTCTGGGAGCTGCCCTGTGATGGGTGGCAGTGCCCAAATCCCCTCTGCACCCTGGTGCCGGTGTCTGGCTCTGACCAGAGACCTGCAGGGATCTGCGTGGGGCTCTGCGGACCCCACAGCCGCACCAGCACTGCCCACCCCTGAGTGTGCGTGGCTGAGCTGAGTGCCTCCCTGTCTCCTGGCATCACTGCCAGGAAAGGGCTGTGGGCCTGGAGAAGCTCTCACAACCCTGCACGGTTCCAGGAGTGTGCAGGCAAAGCAGGTGGTGAGGTGCTGCCAGCCCCTTTGCATTTCGAGTGTGCCCCGGGCACAGGGCACCAGCACGTAGGAACCCAGGGGACAGAGCAGAGGGCCCAGAGTGCGGGACAGAGCGACTGCCCCTGTCCCACCAAGCAGCAGCCCCCTCACCGTGCAGAGCCCCCCACGTCCCTGCTCCCCTGGCCCTGTCTGTCCCAGGACAGCCCTTCCCAGGGGCAGGAGCACCGACGGCCCTTCCCTCTGCCGTCCCCACCTCTCGGCGCCACGGCTGGATGCAATCCCAAACCTGCAAACAGGCGGCACTGCCTGGGCAGATCCGAGCCCGTGCGGCAGTGCCTGCGATGACATCTCGGGCAGACGGAGCCTGCTGGGACCTCTCCTGTGGGGACGGAGCCTGGAGCACGGCCAGGAGCGAGGCAAAGGTGCTGGGGGAGCGGGAGGAGCTGGAGGGGGCACAGGGGCACAGAGCCGGGAGCGCAGAGCCTGTTGGAAGGGCACAGCACACTGTTCTTGCTGTGTTTACTCTGGTGGATGTGGGTCTGTGAGCTGAGGGCAGGATCCACTCCCTGGTGCTGAGACGCAGCCGGTCCTCGCTGTCCCCACTTGGTGCGACCACTGCAGTGGGTGCATGGGGCACGGCTCCCCAGGGGCTGGCATGCCTTCCTCCCCACTGCTGCCTGCGAGGGTGCTGGGCCCCAGGGCACGGCTCCAGGAGCTGCCGTTCCCGTTCCCGTTCCCTCTCCAGCTGTGTCCTCGCAGCCCAGAGCAGTGCAGCCCGCCAGCCCCACCACCCAGCCAGCTCGGCTGTGGCAGCTCGGGCCAGCGGCTGCTGTCTGCCTGCTGCAGCGCCTTGTGCTCGGTCCCTTGTGCCTCAATCCTGCGGCAGAACTGGCTCCCAGCCGTGGGATTGAAGCTGTAGACGAAGCTGTAGATTGAGAGGCTGCAGACGTTGAGGCTCCTCTGTGTGGCCCTCAGGCCGTGCCTCACCACAGCTCCCAGACCCCTGCAAAACCCCAGCCTAGCAAGAAATGATAGAATCATGGAATTATAGCATGGTTCGGGTTGGAAGGGACCTTAAAGGTCCTCTAGTTCCACCCCCTGCCATGGGCAGGGACACCTCCCATGGGACCAGGTTGCTCAAAGCCCCATCCAGCCTGGCCTTGAGCACTTCCAGGGACAGGACATCCACCGCTTCTCTGGGCAACCTGTTCCACTGCCTCGCCACCCTCTGAGTAAAGAATTTCCTCCTAATGTCTAATCTAAAGTTCCTCTCTTTCAGTTCAAAACCGTTCCCCCTCATCCTGTCACTATCTGCCCATGTGAAAAGTCGCTCTCCACACGCCCTCCAGCCCTCTGTTTTGCACAGCGCAGTGCCTGACAGCCTCTGGCTCCCTGCTGGCAGGTTATTTGCCTGTGTAATGGCTGTATTGTGGTCAATCCCAGCGTGCCCAGCAGCTTTTCAAGTGTGCAGGCAGGCTTGCAGGTTAATGTGCTCCCAGTGTGGCCTGCGGCACCCACCAGCTTCTCCTTGTGCTGCTTCCCTTCGCCCCGCTCCCTCCTGCCCCCTCTGCCCACACCGTCTGTCCCCAGGCAGGGCAGACAGCCCACCCCACAGCACCGAAGGCCCCCCGGGGTTCTGCTGGGGCTGCTCCGGCCCCTGCTGACCAGGCTGACCACCGGCCCCTGGCAGAGGCTGCAGCCGTTCGTGCTGCCTCGGGGCTTGTTTGTCCCATTGCCGCGTCCAGCAGCACCCCAACGAGCACAGGTCCTCCTTGGGGCTGCTGCCCTGGCCTGGTGCTTCGCCCCACACCAGCTGCCCTCCTGGCCTTTGAAGTGCCACACAAAACAGATACAAGCCTTGCTCAGACTGGTGACCAAATGCACGTTACAGCTCGTGGGGCCTTTTCTTCTCTCAGGAGCTGGACCTGCCTCAGCCCAGTGCCCCACGGGCCCCACAGGTGGAGCCCCAATCTCTCTTGCACATCAAGATATCCCAGTGCATCCAGTATGGACCCGTGGTGTGCTTGCCTCTGGCAGGACTGGCTCTGCACGCCAGGGGCAGGGACAAGCACACTGCCTCAAATGTGCTCTGCCTTTGGCTGTTACTTCCCACTGCCTGTGTGATATTTCTTTTCCCTTTTTCCCCAATTTAGCCCACAAAGCATAAAAGAGTTGATTTCTCAGTGAGCTTCCCCATTCTCTCTCCCATCTCTGCAGAAAGCTGTGGAAGGAGTGCGCAGAGGAAGGATGGCGAGCAAGCCAGCAGTGAATGGCCACGCTGCCCCCATCTCTCACCAGGAAGATGTGCCAGGAACAAACCACTGCTGCCAGGGCACACTGCCTTGCAAACAGAAAGCAGCTGGCGGGGATGTGGCAGCAATGGATGCTGCTAGTGAGCCTTCAGAGGTACCTGGCAGCATTGCCGGGGTGTATGTAGAGGCTTTGAAGAAGATAATGAGCTTTTATGATGCCACCAGAGAACATCTTCTGAGCTTGGATCCGGCGCTCTTTCTTCTGGAGGCCCAGGCAGCCATGGGCTTCATTGCTGACCCGGTGAAGAACAGGCACGTCTCCGTAGCAGAAGCTGTGCACCTGGGGCTGGTGGGGCTGGAGCTGAAGGAGAAGCTGCTCTCTGCAGAGAAAGCTGCCACTGGCTTTGTGGATCCCTACACAGAAGAGAAAATCTCCCTCTACCAGGCAATCCAGAAGGACCTGATTGGGAGAGAGCAAGGAGCCCGGCTGCTAGAGGCCCAGATGGCAACCGGAGGCGTCATTGACCCAGACACAGGCTGCCGGCTCCCAGCAGATGTTGCCTGTGAGAGGGGATATTTAGATGAAGAGATGAGGCAGCTCTTCTCTGACCCCAGCAACGAGGACAGCAAAGGGTTCCTCGACCCCAGTACTATGGAGAGGGTCACCTACATGGAGCTTATGAAGAGGTGTGTTGTTGATCCAGCCTCAGGCTTCCTCCTCTTGCCCCTGCAAATCACATTCGCAGGGCTGGGAGGAAGGGTGAGCAGCAGGGATCTGCTGGAGGCTGGCATCATCAGCCCCGACACGTTCAGAGGTCTTGAGGAGGGAAGAGTTTCTGCCCAGGAGGTAGCAGAGAGTGACTCTGTCCAGCAGTTCCTGCGTGGGACAAGGAGCATCGCTGGTGTTGTCCTGCCTTCTGGTGAGCGGAAAAGCCTTTACCAGGCCCTGAGAGAGCATCTCCTCCTGCCTGGCACTGCTCTGACACTCCTGCAAGTCCAGGCCTCCACTGGCAGCCTGACAGACCCCATAAAGAACAAAACCTTCTCTGTTGATGAGGCTGTCAGGATTGGCCTCATCGGCCCAGAGCTTCATGAGAAACTGTCTTCAGCTGAGAGGACCATCACTGGGTACAGGGACCCCTACACTGGGGAAATGCTCTCCCTGTTCCAAGCCGTCAGGAAGGCCTTCATCCCCAGGGACCACGGCATTTTCCTTCTGGAGGCTCAGATGGCTACAGGGGGCATCATTGCTCCGGGCCGGCACTTCCGTGTCCCCACAGAGACAGCTTGCAAGTGGGGATACTTGGATGAGACCACAAGACAGCTCCTCTCCAGTCCTGCTGATGAACTGAAAGGGTTCTTTGACCCCAACTCCAAGGAGAAGCTGACCTATGCAGACCTGCTAAAGCGATGTGTCACTGATCCCAACACAGGGCTCCTCCTGCTGCCACTTAGTGGAGACAGTGGAGAAGGACCCAAGGGAACCCCTGTCTTCTTTGACCACAAGACCCAAACGGCTCTGGAAAACACAAAGGTACCCATTACTTTAGGTAAATTCAAAGGAAAATCAGTGTCTCTCTGGAAACTCCTCTTCTCAGACTACATCCAGAGTGAGCAAAGAGCTGCTCTCACCCAGCAGTACCTTGCAGGGACGCTCTCTATGCAACAATTGGCCAAGGCAGTCAGTGTCACCATTGAAGAAATGGCTTCCACTGCCAATGTCACCTTTGAAGGACTGAGGGGTCGCGTGACAGCTGACCAGCTCCTGAGCTCTGAAATCATCAACAAAGATTTGTTTAAGAAACTGAAGGAAGGAGAAACATCAGCCAAAGAAGTTGTCAGCATGGACACTGTCAAGAAGTACCTGCAAGGGACGGGTAGCATTGCTGGGTTGCTGCTTCCTGACTCCCAGGAGAAGATGAGCATCTACCAGGCAAAGAGGAAAGGATTTTTACGGCCAGGAACATCACTGATCCTCCTGGAGGCACAGGCTGCCACCGGATTTATCATTGACCCAGCTGCCAACAAAAGCTATTCTGTAGATGAGGCTTTACAAGCAAATGTCATTGGTCCAGATGTTTATGACAAGCTACTGACTGCAGAGAAATCAGTCACTGGCTACAGAGATCCTTACTCAGGGACCAAGATCTCCCTCTTCCAGGCCATGAAGAAGGAGCTCATTGTCAAGGAGCACGCTATCCGCCTGCTCGAGGCCCAGATCGCCACCGGAGGCATCATCGACCCTGTCAATAGCCACCGCATCCCCGTGGAGGTGGCCTACAAGCGGGGCTACTTCGACAAGAAGATGAATGTAATCCTTTCTGACCCCAGCGATGACACCAAGGGCTTCTTCGACCCCAACACGCACGAGAACCTCACCTACCTGCAGCTGAAAGAGAAGTGCATCACAGAGCCGTCCACCGGGCTCTGCCTCCTTCCTCTGAACAGCAGGAAGCGCCAGTTCATTGACGACGCCACCAGGCAGCTGTTCAGGAACTCCTGGATGCCTGTCAGGTTTGGGCGCTTACGCGGGGAGAAGGTCTCGGTGTGGGACCTGCTGAACTCCGAGTACTTCAGCGAGGGGAGGCGCCGAGAGATCTTCAACCACTACCGGCTGAGGAAGCTCACCCTGGAGCAAATCCGGATCATGCTAGAGGAGGAAATCAAAAAATGGGCCCCCATCAAGTTCCCAGCCATGAGAGGCAGCATCAGCGCTTATCACCTGATGGACACGGGCATCATTGACAGGGCCCTGTTTGAGAAGGTGTTGGAGGGATCCGTCACACCAGAGGAAGTCCTGCGCATGGACTCTGTCAGAAGATACCTCTATGGCTCTGGCAGCATCGGGGGGATTGTACTCCAGCCATCAAACCAGAGGATAAGCATTTATGAGGCCATGAAACAGAACATCATGGTACCTGGAGTAGCCCTACCACTCCTAGAGGCCCAGGCTGCCACAGGCTTTATCATTGACCCAGTGAACAACCAGAAACTCTGCGTGGATGACGCCGTCAAGGAAGGAGTCATTGGGCCAGAAGTCCATGAGAAGCTGCAGCAAGCAGAAGGGGCTGTGTCAGGCTATAAGGATCCTTTCACAGGCAAGAAGATACCTCTCTTCCAGGCTATGAAGAAGGGCCTGATCACTGACAAACAGGCCATGCAGCTGATGGAGGTGCAGATGGCTACAGGGGGCATCATTGACCCAACATGTGGCCACCATCTCCCCATAGAAGCTGCCCAAAAGCGAGGGTGCCTGGATGAGGACACAAGCAAGGCCCTTTCTAAGCCCAGTGACAACAACAGAGCCTTCTGTGTCCCAGACAGCAAAGAGACCGTGACCTACGCTGAGCTCATCGAGCGCTGCCAGAAGGATGAGATCTCTGGCTTCCACTTGCTGCCTCTACCACAGACAGCAGTTCCTGTCTACACAGATGAACAAATCCAACAGCTTTTCAAGGAAACTATGGTGAAGGAAAAAGGGGTCTCCCTCTGGGAGCTAATCCACTCTGGGTATTTCACTGACGAGCAGAGGAGTGACTTTGTGGAGAGGTTCCGTGCTAAGGAACTGTCCCTGCAGCAGTTGGTAGCTCTTGTGCTCAGACTGGTAAGGGAGATGGAGATGAAAGCCTGCACCCACATCACCTTCCAGGGCTTGCAGGGAAGTGTCCCTGCAGTCTGGTTGCTGGAGGCTGGCATCATTACTGAGAAGATGTTTGAAGAACTAGCTCAGGGCATAAGAACTCCCGAGGAAGTGGCTGAAATGGAGAGTGTGAAGAGGTACTTGCAGGGCACAGGCAGCATAGCCGGGGTAATCATACAGGCATCCAAAAAGAAGATGAGTTTTTACAATGCCATGAAAAACAATCTCCTCCTCCCTGGGGCTGCTCTGAAGCTGCTGGAAGCTCAGGCAGCCACAGGGTACCTAACTGACCCAGCAACAAACCAGAGACTCAGCGTGAGGGATGCTGTGAGAGCAGCTGTTGTTGGTGAGGAGCTCACTGAGAAGCTTCTCCTAGCTGAGAGGGCAGTGACTGGCTACACAGACCCCTACACAGGGAGCTCCATCTCCCTGTGCCAGGCGGTCAGGAAAGAGCTCATTCCTCTGGGTGAAGCCATTCCTTTGCTAGAGGCCCAGCTGGCCACAGGAGGAGTCATCGATCCTATTCACCATCATCACCTTCCACTCCAGGCTGCATACAGGTACGGCTTCTATGATGAGGACTTAAACCAAAACCTCACCCAGCTGAATGACAGCACCAAAATCTTTTTTGATCCAAATACAAAGGAGAACGTGACCTACCAGCAGCTGAAGGACAGGTGCATTTATGAGGCTGAGACAGGCCTCTGGTTCCTTCCCCTGTCGGAAAATGCAATGTTCTGTGTGGATGAACAAACCATGGAGATGCTGAAATCTGTGACTGTCTGTGTCAACATAGGACGGTTCAAAGGACAGACAGTGTCAGTCTGGGACCTTCTCAACTCTGAATACATCTCAGACAGAAAAAGAAGAGAGCTGGTGCAAAAGTACAAAGATGAAAATACCGAAGTGCTGCATGAAATCATAATGATTGTCATGAAAATCATCAAAGAAACTGAGGTGCAAGGAAAGAAGTTTGCATTCAAAGGTCTGCGGAAAAGAGTGTCTGCCAGTGATCTCTTCCAATCTCAACTGATAGACAAAAAAACCCTTGATGAGCTCAACCAGGGGAAGAAAACAGTTAAAGAAGTCACTGAAATGGACTCTGTCCGCAGATACTTGGAGGGCAGCAATTTCATAGCAGGGGTCCTTATACAGCCAAGCAATGAGAAGATGAGCATCTACCAGGCCATGAGGAAGGGCATTCTGAGGCCGGGGACAGCACTGGTGTTGCTGGAGGCACAGGCTGCTACCGGCTACATCATTGACCCAGAGAAAAACAAGAAATTTTCAGTGGAGGAAGCATTTAAGGCAGGTCTAATTGGGTGTGAGATTTTTGAAAAGCTACTCTGTGCAGAAAGAGCTGTGACAGGCTACATTGACCCCTACACAAAAGCACCAATGTCCCTATTTGAAGCCATGAACCAAGGACTGATAGTGAAGAGCCACGGCATCCGCCTGCTCGAGGCCCAGATCGCCACCGGCGGCATCATCGACCCCGTGCACAGCCACCGCCTCCCCGTGGAAGTGGCCTACAAGCGCGGCTACTTCGATGAGGAGATGAACCGGATCCTCTCCGACCCCAGTGATGACACCAAGGGCTTCTTCGACCCCAACACGCACGAGAACCTCACCTACATGCAGCTCCTGGAGAGATGTGTCCAAGATTCAGAGACTGGGTTGTACATGCTACAAGTTGTTCAAGAAGGGGGAAGGTACTTCTACATAGATGAATTGACAAAACAGGTTTTGCACTCAAAGCCCATTAAAGTGACAGTTGGAAAATTCAAGGACCAAACAGTTTCTGTCTGGGAAATTCTCTGTTCCCATTACATCTCCGAGCAGAAAAGGAAAGAACTAGTGAAGCAATATAAATGTAAAACTCTAACTCTGGAAAACCTTATAGCTCTCATCCTCAAAACAATTGAGGATACGGAGCAAAAAGCAGAAGCCCTCAAGGTCAAAGGACTCCGAGGTGAGGTGTCAGTGTCAGAATTGTTTAACTCTGAGATAATTGACAAGAAGACCCTGGATCAGCTGCAGGATGGAAGTCTCTCGCTTCATAGCCTCACAAAGAAGGACACGGTAAAAAGGTACCTGGATGGCACCGGATGCATCGCAGGAGTTCTACTTCCATCAAGGAAAGAGACAATGAGCATCTACCAGGCCCTGAAGAGGGGTCTGCTCTCAGAGCAATGTGCACTGGGGCTGCTGGAGGCGCAGGCTGCCACCGGCTTCATTGTTGATCCACTGACAAATAAGAAGCTCTCCGTGGACGAGGCCGTCTTGGCCAAGTTGGTGGGCAGCGAGTTGCACGAGAAGCTCCTGTCAGCAGAGAAAGCTGTGACAGGATATGCAGATCCCCAGACAGGCACTAAAATATCCCTCTTCCAGGCCATAATGAATAAGATAATAATGAAGGAGCACGGCATCCGCCTTCTTGAGGCCCAGATTGCCACTGGTGGCATCATCGACCCTGTGCACAGCCACCGCATCCCTGTAAATGTGGCCTACCGGAGGGGCTACTTGGATGGCGATACGTTTCTCCTGCTTTCTGATCCAGATCATGGCAGCAAAGGTTTCATAGATCCAAATACTCATGAGAAAATAAGTTACAGTCAGCTCCTGCAAAGATGTTCCAAAGACAGAGATACTGGACTGTACATGCTGCAGGTCATGGAGAAGGAAGATGACTATTTCTACATTGATGAGCAAACAAAACAAGCCCTAATATCAACAAAGGTACAAGTGTCTGTTGGAAAATACAAAGGGAATGAATTATCACTCTGGGAACTTCTCTGTTCTGAGTACATCACAGAAGAGAAAAGAAAAGAACTGGTGAAAAAATATAAAGAGGAATCCCACCACATTATACAAAGAATCATTGAAACAATACTAAATATCATTAAAGAAAAAGAGGAGGACAGAAGTGATGTTTGGTTCCAAGGAATAAGACAACAAATTACAGCATCAGAACTTCTCAGTGCAGAGATAATCACAGAAGAAACTATGCAGAAACTCCAGGAAGGAAAGGAAACAGCACAAGAAATAGCGCAAATGGATAATGTGAGAAGATACCTTGAGGGAACTGGAAGCATTGCTGGTGTGCTTGTGCCATCCAGGGCTGACCCCACCAAGATGGAGAAGATGAGCATCTACCAGGCCATGTGGAAGGGCATCCTGAGGCCAGGGACAGCATTAGTGCTGCTGGAGGCACAGGCTGCCACCGGCTTCATCATAGACCCAGTCAAGAATAAAAAGATATCTGTGGATGAAGCTGTCACATCAGGGCTGGTGGGCAGTGAATTACAGAAGAAACTTCTTTGTGCAGAAAAAGCTGTGACGGGCTACACACACCCATGCACAGGACAGAAGATGTCCCTCTTCCAGGCCATGAAGAAGGAGCTCATCGTCAAGGAGCACGGCATCCGCCTGCTCGAGGCCCAGATCGCCACCGGCGGCATCATCGACCCCGTGCACAGCCACCGCCTCCCCGTCGAGGCTGCCTACAAGCGCGGCTACTTTGACCAGCAGATGAACCAGATCCTCTCCGACCCCAGCGACGACACCAAGGGCTTCTTCGACCCCAACACGCACGAGAACCTCACCTACATGCAGCTCCTCCAACGCTGTGTTCTTGACCCAGACTCTAATCTTTATTTCCTTAGTGTTTTCTCTATTTAGTCATAAAGCCCTTTACTTTTTTTTCCGTGTTATTTCATTGGTGAAGATTTTTTTCTTTGTTGGGACTTGTTTTGCTGCTGGCATTTTTGACATTTTTTTAATATATTCTTTTTTCTTATTATTCATAGAGTATTTCCTTCTTCTCTTTCATGTTTTGTAATGTTTGTACAGCAGTTACGGTGTTTAGGTGACTCATCTGAGCATTTCTTTATAGCGTTTTAATCCATTGTCTTCTATAATTTAACTGGAATTCATGAATCAGCCTGGCTTATTTCCAGTCAGTTTGGTGTAAGATGTTGTACTTTTTCCTTTATAGTTCTTTAGATATAAGGATGTCTTTGTATGAGGTGTAATGAGAAATGAAATTTTATTCATTCTTTCTTCTGTATCTTTACATATCGGAAACATTTTTTTAGAAGATCAGTGTGGCATTGCCATAGTTTTAGTTTTGCGTGCCTGCCTCCTGCATGGAGAACACATTTCCATGTAGGCATCATGTCAGGCCGATGTTAAGTGTTACTGGGCTCATATCCATTATCTGTGTTTTTGCTGTTACTGCCTCAGTCCATCCAATATTTCTGGAGGCCTCTAAACCACATATACCCTTAATTGGGAGTGGTTTGGTCTCTCTCTGATGTGTACAATCAAATCACTCAGATTTTTTGCTTTCCCTCCCTTCAGTTGTCCAGCTCTCCTGAGAGCCTCTATAGAGAGTTTTTTGTTGGATCCATGCAAGAGCTGAGAAATGGTAGCATATGTTGTCTTTCTGTACTTGTAGCCAAAGCTGTCCCTGTATGCAGCCAGCAGTAAGGGGAGCTGGTGGTACAGAAGCTGCTACCTCCAGCTGTTTCCTTCGGTATGTTTCTCATCTTCTTTTGCCATTCCATGTCCTGAGTTGACTTTTCCTCCCTTCAAATGCAGCCCATGTGCATGTTTCTGGAGTAGAGACAGCCTCTGGACCACTGCGCCATACAGTTCAGTACTGAATAATTCTACTACTGCTTAATAAAAGGAAACATACAAACCTTAGATTCATTGTCTTTGGCTATTTGCTTTAATTAACTCAGTTGCATCCTCGAAAAATCAAGTTCTCACCACGGTTTTTGTAGCTGATAGGTGAAAGCAAATGTAGATTTGCTTTGGAACTCCTTACCATAAACTGCTGCGTAGTCCAGAGAGTCGCATGGGCTCAAAAAGGCATGGGACAAATTACTGGGAGTGGGCTGTTAAATGCATGGAAATACTCAGTCCCAGGAGGTTCCTGAGCCACAGTTTACTTGGAGATGGGAGACACAATCAGGGAGGTGTCAGTACGGGCTTGCACTGTTGTTACATGCTCAGTGTAGGCTCTGACACTGGACAAAGCTGGCTGCAGCATAGTGGAAATGCAGACCTGTGCTCTGGGCTGATTTAACTGCAATTGAACTTGCCACCACCTTAATTATGAGCACATCGAAACACAGGAAATGCTGCAATTTACTCGAAGTGACACACTGTCATGGGGATATTTTATAGCTCTCAGGCCTCTCTGTACTTTGTATTGGAGTTAGTTCAGCTTCCTCCCACACCAACCTGCAGGCACTGAAATTCCAGCTCCAGAGGGACTCGATGATTTAGGCTCCCATACAAACCAAAAGGCTTCATATTCATCTTCTAGACTTCTACTCTTTCCTGGAAATGGATTAGAAAATGCTTAGCCAAAATCAGCCTGAATGGCCCATGTGTGTCTCCAGATCTCACAGTCCTACATGGTGCTATGGTATAAGAGGGCCCGTGGCCAGCTGCTGCATGAGAGAAGGCACTGGGATGGACAGGCTCTTGCCCTGGCACAGCACAACCATTCCTATCAGAATCACAGGATCATGGAATGGTTTGGGTTGGAAGGGACCTTAAAGATGATCTAATTCTAACCCCCGTGCCATGGGCAGGGACACCTCCCACTAGACCAGGTTACTCAAAGCCCAGTCCAGCTAGAACTCGAATAGCTTAATCCTCAGCGAAACATCAGCATGCCATGGGCTTGTTGGGAGGAGGCTCACCAGGAAGGCTTTGTAATGCTGAACTAGGAAGTGCAGAGGAACAGCAGAGGAGGGTGTTCATCAGGAGAGCATAGAGCTAGATCAGACAAAATGATGATACAGACCAACACAAAGCCCTGAAATCCCCGTGCAGGCTGACACTGCGGAACTGGGAGGGGGCAAGGTGAGCATCCAGACATGAGGGCCCCTCTGTGCCAGGACTGAGCTGGGTAAACAGGCAGAAGGGAGGGCAGACTCTGAGTGGAGAAATAAAAGGGGAATAGAAATATAAATTACACACAGCAGGCAAGCAGGTAATGCGTATTTACTATTTCCCCTAAGAAATGGGTTGTGGAGGAGCAAGAGGGAGATTTCTGTACACAGTCAAACTGTGGCAATTGCTGCTGGGGTAAGGAAATTGCTGCAAGAGCTGAGGAAAGGCAAGGCAAGGCCTCTTAGCAAGGGAGCCAGCAGTGGAACTGCGTGTGTTGGGAGGGGGAAGCGCGTGCTGGGAGCAAGGCTGCTTAACACATGCAGACACAGGCTGGGAAATGCTGTGAACAGCAAGGGAGCAGATAGTATTAAGTTATTCAGGTTAGTAAAGACATCTGCCAGCTGCAAAGACTGCTGGAAGACCAAACAACATACAGTGAGCGGAATAAAAAAGGCAGATTATGTTCAACATAGGTGAAAATGCACAAATGGGGAGAAGCAGCCCTACTGTGCACATACCCAACTCTGAACTGTTGCAGCTCAGCAGCAAGAATTGTGATAGAGTATTTGATGTGTGCTCAGCAACAGCCAGAGTAACTCAAATGTTAAGATTAGGGATGGAGCAGAGAACAGGGAAAGAATCAGAGAATCACAGAATGGCTCGGGTTAGAAGGGCCCTCAAAGATCACCCAGTTCCAAGCCCCCTGCCATAGCAGGGATGCCACCCACTAGATCAGGTTGCCCAGGGCATCCTCCAACCTGGTCTTGAACACCTCCAGGGATGGGGTATCCACAGCTTCTCTGGACAACCTGTTCCAGTGCCTCGCCACCCTGTGAGCAAAGAATTTCCTCCTAACCTCTAATCTAAATCTTTTAGTCTTTTAGTTTAACACCATTCCCCCTCATCCTATCAATATCTAACTGAGCAAAGAGTTACCCTCCACTTTTTTTTATAAGCCCCCTTCAAGTACTGAAAGACAGCAGTGAGGTCACCCTGGATCCTTCTCTTCTCCAGGCTGAACAGCCCCAGCTCTCTCAGCTGTCTTCCTAGAGAGGTGCTCCGGCCCCTTGATCATCTTCGTGGCCCTCCTCTGGGCCCTCTCTAACAGCCCCACATCCTTCTTGTGCTGGGGGCTCCAGACCTGGACACAAGGCTCCAGGTGGGGCCTCACGAGGGCAGAGCAGAGGGGGACAACCACCTCCCTCCCCTGCTGGTCACCCCTCTGTTGATGCAGCCCAGGACACAGTTGGCCTTCTGGGCTGCAAGTGCACGCTGCCAACTCATGTCAAGCTTTTCGTCCAACAGAACCCCCAATTCCTCCTCTGTAGGGCTGCTCTCAATAGGTTCTTCTCCCAGTCTGTACTCCTTTCTGGGATTGCCCCAGCCCAGGTGCACCACCCTGCATTTAGACTTGCTGAACCTCATTACGTTCACATGGGCCCACTTTTCAAGCCTGTCCAGGTCCCTTCAGATGGCATCCCTTCCTTCTATCGTATCAACCACACCACTCAGCTTGGTGTGTCATCTCGAATTTGCTGAGGGTGCACTCGATCCCACTGTCTACGTTGCAGCTTTCCCCAAGTGCTCTTAGCAGGCTGTTCTGCCAGGCACCACCATCCATCGCCTGTGCCCGCGGACAGACGCTTGACTCTCGGAGAAGGGCAGCAGAGCAGGGCAGACCCCACCAGCTGCATTCAGCTCTGCGCATCCCACGGTGCCCAAGGCCAGCTCTGCAGACATCCCTCACGGCCAAGGCTCTGCTCTGCAAGTCTGTGGCATGCCAAGGCGCCCTGCAGCCCCCACCAGAGCTGGAGCTGTGTCTGTGCCATCTCCCCACCTGCCCTCAGAAGACAACAGGAGCATGGGATGGGGACCTGGGCCACTCCATAAGCATGTATACCCCCCCTGTGCCCAGGAGCCGCAGAGCAAAACCCTTATGCCAGGAAGCTGGGAAGTCAAAAGATAAGCAAGTTCTCTGGAAAGGTGTCAGGAAGCAGCAGCTGTACACTGCTGGCACCACCCCAACCACCCTGGGGATTATTGTCCTCCCTGCCCTGCCACAGGCCAGGTGGCCTGAAGCACCAGCGAAACGCTCGCTGATCCCCGTTTCCCAGGAATCACGTGTCTGCATGAAAGATGCTTGAGAGTTTCTTTCCCACAGAGTACAAAGTTGCGCAACCGCTTATCTCCAAGCCAGAATAAAAAGGATTTTTGTCTTTTCTGTTTGCCTATGGTTGCTGCCTGTGCCCATCCCTTCGGTGCTGGGTTTGGCCGGTTCATTGCGTTTGTTAAAAGAGCACATAGAATCAGAGAATCATAGAAACTCCTAAGTTGGGAGGGACCCACAAGGATCATTGAGTCCAGCTCCTGGCTCCACACAGAACCACCCAAAAATCAAACCACGTGCCCCAGAGCATTGTCTTCTTTAAAAGCGACAGGCTCAGTACCATGACCATGTCCCTGGGGAGCCTGTCCCAGTGCCCAATCACCCTCCCAGTAGCCTGTTCCTAACACCCAGCCTGACCCTCCCGTCGCAGCTCCATGCTGTTCCTTTGGGTCCTGTTGTTGGTCACCAGAAGGAAAAGCTCAGCACCTGCCCCTCATGAGGAAGCTGCAGACCATTGTGACGCCTCCCGTCAGTCTGCTCTTCTCTGGTCTCAACAAAACAAGGGACCTCAGCCACTCCTCATGTCCTACCCTCGAGACCCTTCACCATCTTCATAGCCCTCCTTTGGATGCTCTCTAATAGTTCTATGTCCTTATATTGTGGCACCCAAACCTGTATGCAGTACTCGAGGTGAGGTTGCACCAGCATTGAGTAGCGTGGGACAATTCTTTTGTATTCTTTCCTACATTGCTCAGCCCAGCTCCCTGGGGGTCCAGCACCGCCAGCTCACGTGGCTCTGCAGGTCCCACGCCAGCCCCACGCCAGGCAGGAGAGCATGGGCGGCTCCAGGCACCTCCGCTGCAGGGAATCCTGGTGTGAGAGCTCCACACCGTGGGTCTGGTTTTCTTTGCTAATATTGTCCCCTGCTGCGTGCAGAGGCTGCCCGTGTGTGGTTGCAGCAGGAGGGCCCTGCCCTCTCCACGTCAGGCAGGAGGCTGTTGGCTGCTGGGTGTCACCCTCTGCCAGCGTCTGGGGACGGCTGTGCACCAGCAGCGTTACACCCAGGGCTGCGTGGCTGCAGGGACCGGCGGGGAGGGAGTTGTGTCAGCACCTGAGCCCTGGCAGAGGAGGTTTCCCAAATCAAACGCTGCAGGAAAACAACATTCCCCAAACACCCCGTTGCCAAAGCTGTCTCCCAGCTCTCTGATGTGGTTCGTGGCTGCTCCAGCCAAGGACACCTACACCTTCCGGCAGGCGAGGCCAGGCCACGGACTGTGATACCCGGGCCCCGGTGCCTCCATGCCAGGCTGCAGGGAAGCTGCAGGACCGGCCGGTGAGTCACGGAGCAGCGCGGTGCTGCACTGCGGGCACAGAGCATCCCATGGGGCTGCGCCCCTGGCCTTGCTTTCCATAGAACTGCAGCGAGGGGCACTTAGAGGTGGAGGCAGCAGATGCTGCGGTTTCAGGCACCACCTGAGCCCTGCACACTCACATGGGTTTTCTTTACTTAGCGGGCAGCTGTATACAATCAGATAGAGCTGGCTGCAGCTGCGTGGGGGCCATGGCAATCCAGCGCCACATGCACAGATCCTGACACGACACAAACTCTCCCCAGGTGGTGATGCTGTCACCTTCCTGCCCTGTCCCCAAGCACAGGATGTGCGGTGCCTTGAAGCCCCTCACTCTCCTCAGGCACAGAGGCACAGCGTACTGGGGGTGCCGCAGCACGGCCAGGACTTGGCAGGTGGGATTGGGTCCCCCTGCCCAGGGCAGACCCCATCTGCAGCCGCTGCTGCACTTTTCCCAGCTTCTCCCACAGCAGCTCGCATGCTGCCCGCCTGAGCCCCTGGCTGAAGGGAGGGCAGCAGCCGTCTGGCAGGTGGGTGACAAGGAGGTGTTGTCTCCAAACAGCCCTGTGCCAGAGTCCAGAGTGCGGTATATCCAGAAATGCTGGCTGGGTAATGGGCCTGTAGCGTGCAAGTGACAGCGCCCTGACGCCCAGGCAGCTCCACGCTGCTCGTCAGGCTGTCTGGGAAGGGCGACTGCAGGTCAGTTAACACCCAGGCCTGAAGCCAAGCGAGAAGTCAGCATTCCTCTCAAGACAGCTTGAGCAGTTTCATCTCCATTCTCACAAACATCCAGCTCCTGGCACTACAGGCATGTGAAAGGGGAAGTCACTGTATTTTGGCTTGTAAACCAAACTAGGAACTGCAGCCCGATCCAAAGCCTTGTGTTAATATGCAAATTACAAGAGGTACAGTGTCAGCTTGCAGCTGCCTTTCAGAAAAGTTAGATGGAATGGGTAAAACAATCGGCATTGCTCAGCAAGAACACTATTCCCAGATTATTTGTAGGTTGTGTTCTAGTGCTTTCACTTGCTAAAAGGTCCTATCGCTGTTCACAGAATGTGCACTGCTAGGATAGACCGTGCCATCTGCCTCGCAATGGACCTACAGCAGCCACCACCCAGGGCAGGGGCTGTCCTGAAAGGAATCCTCGCTGAAATGTCTCCAGGACCAGGGGCAGACTGGGAACGGGCCTGAGGAACAGCTTCAGGAGAATGAGAAGCAGGCCCCGTGACATCAAGTCACCTGGTAGGATGCTGGTGATGCTCCGAGGCAGCAGACAGAAAGACAGGAGCCCTCCTTCAAATCTCAAGGCTAATTACAAGCCCCGGGAGCAGGGGGGAGGGATGGAGGCAGGTCTGGAGACGGCACAGTTGTGCACACCTGGGCTCTGGCTGCACAGTACTCCAGCCAGGCCCTGCATCCCGTGCCTTTAACACACCAGTGCATGGCAGCTTTGGGAGTGGGGCTGAGGGAATTTGAGCTCAAGCCACAGAGACGATGCTGAAGGCCAGAAGGAACATGACTGTGTCTAACAGCGGGATTATTATTAGATGGGACCGAGGTCTGGTATGCAGCACACATGCAGCCCCAACCAGGGGGAGCAGGGTTTCAGTTCTGCATCACGGGGGTTGGAATTTATGAAGGTGAGAGGCTCAGCATTGCCTGTGCTGTATTCCCTTTCCCTGGGAAAGGTGTGCAAGTGCCAGCGTCACCCATGGGACACAGGAACGTCTGCCTTGTGGGCACCCTTCCTCTTCAACAGCCCCTGGGGAAATACCTCTCTGGAGACAATACAAAATACAGCAGAGATCAGCTCACTTAACCCATCTCCAAACAGCCTTGGGTAGTGCCTTAGAACATGTCCTGGAAGAAATAAATTGCTTCAGGGTTGAAATGAAACAGTTTCATCATCTCTCAGAAACAGACTAGTAGTTAGGATAAAATACTCGGTCCTCATTCGGGGAAGAGTCATCCTGCTCTCTGCTAATGAGGGAAGAAGCTGGGAATGGGGTCCCGGTGAGGCACCATCGTTTCCAAGAGATACAACTCTGTGTAAGCCACCTGGTACCTGTGACCAGGTGGTGACATTCAGGGCTGATTCACTGCATCTGATGCTTGTGTGCACTGTAGGTCACCCAGCTGCCCTGGGCAGCCAAGGTGGAGCAGGTCCATGCAGCCGGTGGTTGCTTTGTGGACACGTCCTACAGCAGATGTGTTCAAGTGGTCAGAGTAGTCATGCTCAGGATTTGGGTGAGTGTCCTGGCGTGCTCTCCATGGCTATAACGGGAGCCTGGGCTTCAGCTCCGCAGGAGGAGTCCACTGTGGCGAGATAAATCATAGCCTCTGTTCTGACAAATGCAAAGTAACGCATCATCAAGGGAAGCCGCCAACTGCCAGCACTTCAGAGGTGTCTAAACAAGCTGGGCCAACTCCAGATAGTGGCCCAGCGTCACTGGGACAGCTCAGGGGAGCACGCTGCATGGCTGCAGTCAGTGCTGAGTGGTGCCTGGGGAGTGCAGGAGGACCACAAAGCAAAGCAGCTTAACACTGCCTGCTGGTACCCACCCAGCCAGGCTTGTGCACGGGGTCCTTGCTGCACAGAGCAGGATGCTGAGAGAAGAGAGATGGGATCCTCCTTCCTGGCACAGGCACCCTTTGCACCCCTTACACTCAGCTTGTGCCAAGGATGCAGCCCAGAACAAAGCCCTTCCTGTAGCCCATCTCAAACAGATAAACCTTAAAACCTACAGAGAAATGCAGTTAGCAGTGTACTTGTGGCATCAGTAACTCTAGCCAACATAACACAGGCTGAAAACAGATGTCAGGCAAGGAAGGGCTTCTGAGGGGTGAGTAAAGACGACGGAAACAGGTCCTGTGTCCACCTTCATCCCCAAGGGCAGAGGGACCTCCTGCCCAGGTGTGCTCCCCACAGCCAAACCGATCTCGGTGAGTCAGAGGGAAAATGCATTCGTGTGCTGATCATCCAGTCTGGCAAGCACCTACGCAGGTAGGAATGTGCACCCAAAGCAGGACAGCCAGGGAAGGAAGGGCAGGGGCAGGCAACACCTCCTCCGCGCAGGGGCACCAACTCACACACACCCACACAGGGTCACACCAGCACACACGTGTGCAGCTGCATGTGCCAGCTCACACAGGCATAGATGTGTGAGCACGCATGTGCTCTCCCCTGCACACGCACAGTTACATGTGCCAACACCGAGTTACTTGAGCACATACAGTCACACACATCAGAGGCACGGTCACACGTGCAGGTTTAGGTGAGCACATATGCAGTCACAGGTGCACACAGCCACAGACAAAACCAGCACCTGAGCACGTACTCAGCTGCACAATTACACACCAGAACAACCCAACCAAAACCACCCTTGTGCTGGAAGTGGGCACTGGGTAAGCCTGTTCACCGGAGCTGTGGCTGTGGTCTGATGGGACATGGCCCAAACACGGGACTGCTTCAGCCCAACTCAGCCCAAAGCTGGCCAGAGCCAGCAGCCTGCCCTGCCAGCCAGCTGGAGTTCTCTGCGAGCAAGCAGTTAGCCAGGCACCCTCAGCTCCTGGAGAGCCGCTGGCCAGGCATTGGGCTGGCTCCCCCTGCACACCAGGAGCATGAGGGTGATGGAGCACTGGAACAGGCTGCCCTGACAGGTTGTGGAGTCTTGCTTCGTGGAGGTCTTCAAAACCCACCTGGACATGGTCCTAGGCAACCTGCTCTAGGTGGCCCTGCTTGAGCAGAGGGGATGGACCAGATGACCTCCAGAGGACCCTTCCAATTTCAACCATTCTGTGATTCTGAGAGCTTTCCATCCTGGAGCTGCTTTGGCCCTGGGAACTGGCCACCCAAATCCACCTGCTGCGAGGAGCTCCTGTGCCTGTATGGTCCAGTTCACAACCCCATCAGGGGACAGGCTGGATCTCTGTCCCCCATGGGAGCAGAGAGAGCTGCATGAGGTGGCTGCAGCTCCCTACCCCAGCCAAGGGGCTCAGCCAAGGCAGGCTGAACAAGCCCAGATGTGCAGAGACCTCCAAGGCATCTGGGACCCCAGGCAGAGCAGTCCATGAGCAATCGTGCTGGGTGCCTGTCAGGAGATGGTGGTGTCAGGGTCCAGAAACTGCACCGTGCCCCTGCATCCTCCACGGACACATTCACCCAAGCTCCCACCAGAGATGCACCCCACATCTTGCAGTGTAACCAGTCACTGTCCCCCTGCCCCAGACCCTGCCACCCCAGCTGGGCTCCCAGGACAGGGGCTGCTGTGACACTGCAGAGGCATCGTCTCACTGGGGTGGTCGGATGTATACTGGCTGGCTTGTAGCACGGGGCAGGGCTGGTGTGTCATCCCCAGGGGCGGGGAAGCGAAGGATTTAAATTAGGCACCTGCCTTGGCTGCTCATCCTGGCTGAGAGGCGGCGGGAGGAGGAGGAGGAGGACCGGAGCCTGCTGGTGAGCAAGCCGCTCTGGATTCGTGTCCAGCAGGTAGGACACAGCCTGTCCAGAGGGGGCACTGGGGCCACCACACAGCCTAGCACAACTCCTGCCTTGCACGCTCCATGTACATACTAGATGCCTGCAAGGGATGCGGAGACCTTGCCTCTACCCTAAAACCTGCCATTCAGAGGGCAGCTGCTGAAGCCCAGGGCTTGGCTGCACAGGAGGTCTCCAGGCACGAGGTGGCCTTTCTAAGAAGGGACAAAGCGACAGAGTGGCTGGATGCCAGGGCTGGATGGAGCCACTGCTCCGCGCAACGCGCTTTGCATCCTCTGCACTGGAGCTGAGCGGGTCAGGACGCTGGGACACGGGAGGGAGGCAGCCGGAGCCGTGGGACCTGCCCGAGCCCGCAGGAGCTGGTGCCGACTGGCACGGTGGGTCTCGGCTGGGAGCCCGGCAGCGGGAGCCCACGAGGCGAGCACCAGGGCTGGGGGCTGTGCCAACACGCTCACGCTCCCTGGGGTGCAGGCAGGGCTCGGGACCACGGCAGCGCCAGGCCACCCCTGCTCACCCCAGCTGGAAAAATGCTTCCACTGGGGGCTCTTGGGCTGGGCTGCTGTGACAGCTTGAAAGGACAGCCAGCTCCTGCCCCGGGAGCTTCGTGTGCAGCCAAGCCCCGGCATCAGGAGGCCTGATTAGAGACGAGCTAATGACAGCCTGCCGTTGGGCAATGTCTCTCCCGAATAGGGTGTTCACACGACATCTGTGTCCTATATAGGTGTCGCCTGCTCCAGGGCGTGACACCGGCACTCTGCCTTGCCCTGCACCGAGTGCCACCCGAGCAGGCGGCACAACGAGCCCACCACCCTGCGAGGGCTGCCTCAGTGGAGGCAAGAGAGTGAAAAGAAGCTGCTCTCTAGGGCCAGAGCCCCAAGGTGGGCCAGAGCACCCACATGAGAAAGGCAGGGGCTGGTCTGCAGCTGCTGGGATCCAGCTCTCTTGCAGCATGATCCATCTACACCTGCATCAATCCAATATTTAAATGTATCAAAGGCAATGACTCAGAGGCTTTTAGATCAGTTAGGTAAACAGTCAGGGAATTAAGCTGTGACCTTGATAATTAATGAGTTAAACATATCATTAACATCAGTCACTGTAGCTTTATGGGAGATGGGTGTTCCCAAAGAAATGTTTTGGGGTTTGTTTTTGCCATTTTTACAAGCCTGTGGCCTCATCACCACATGATACTGGGGATGCTGAAAGTTTACAGGGCTCCCAGAAGAAACCAGGGGACTGCATGGCAGAGATCCCTCAAGAATTACTAAGCAGACTCAAAAGGCATCCAGTTTATGAAATCCACTGTGCTAAAAACAGTTAGAGATTACCACAGAAAACAAGTAAATGTTATATATATTGCCTCATTTTCTCTCTTCCCCTGATGTCCACTTATAGCTCAAGATGGAAACGAGACCCTGGGCTACACCGACCCTTGGTCAGACTCTGCATAGTTGTTCAGATGTCTGCTCAAGAGCACAGCCACCTTCCTCTAGCACATTTCAGACAGCATAACTGGAATCTTGGTTGGCAGTGCTGCTTTTACGTCTGGGGGTACCCGCTAGACTGACTGTGACTCGTCACAGTAATTGCTAAGTACCTGTATGAATGGGAGAAACCACTGCAAGCAGCCACTTACAGCAAGCTTCCTGAGGTACTGGCTCTTAGTCCACCACAACTCTGTAATTTTACATATATAGAGAGAGATCGATATACATAATTTTATCTTCCACTTTACCTACATAACAATTAGCTGAAACAAAGAATGACCATTCACTATCTCCTGCAGCACAGGGTCTAGGAGCTGCTAGTGAAAAGACTTTCCCTGCAAAGTATGATTAAATCACTGCTGTCATTACCTCGGGATGTTGCAGAGGCTGACACCAAACCCAGACTCACAGCCACAACTGCACAGATCCATAAATGGAAGCCTGTGGTGGCTAGTAGAGGGTGGTCTGGGGCAAGCACAGCCCAGGCGGTCCCTGCATGCCAGAGGGTTCAGCCAGCAAGATCAGTCTTTACCATCCTGTTGTTCCTACAGCAGTTTTCGTAAATATCTGGAGACAGCACCCCTGCCCTGCTGCAGAGACAGCACGCAGCCAAACAAACCTTCCCATTGACCACGCCCTTGTCCCCAGGCACTGGAACTGGTTAGAATGGTCCCCAGAATGGTGTTTGGCATGGGCCACCCAGCCATCCCACAGAGGATCCCCACATGCAGTTAAACATTAATGTGGGCCACAGAGCAGTGTGAGCATGCCTGTGGCATCAGCACTCAGTTTTGGAAGAGAAAAACGGAGTGCTGAGGAAAGAAAAAATAAAAATTTTTTTTTGGAGAAAAGCTGTAGTCAGTTTTTCTGAGTATGGGTGCTTCACACACACCACGAAACCTGCTAAAGAACCTGTGTCTCACCAAGTCTTCTCTTTCTCTCTCCTCAGACGAACACAGTGCTCCACAGCAGCAGGACTGTTGCCCAGAGACAACATGAGTGGACCCCTTCAGAACGAGTCAAGCAACACAGGAAGCAACTTGAATGGAAGTGAACACACAGAGATGTGTGGTGGTGGGAGTAACTTCATAGCTGGTGTCTTCATCCAGGCCAAGAATAAGAAGATGAGCATCTATGATGCCATGATGAGGGGGCTCCTGACGCCAGGCACGGCCCTGGTGCTGCTGGAGGCACAGGCTGCCTCAGGGTTCCTCACGGACCCCGTGAGGAATGCCAAGCTATCGGTGAAAGAGGCACTGACCGCGGGACTTATAGGCAGAGATTTTTATGAGAAGCTTCTGTCAGCAGAGGGAGCCGTGACAGGGTACACAGAGCCATACACAGGACACAAGATCTCCCTCTTCCAGGCCATGAAGAACGAGTTCATAGTCAAGGAGCACGCTATCCGCCTGCTCGAGGCCCAGATCGCCACCGGCGGCATCATCGAGCCCATCAACAGACACCGCCTCCCTGTGGAGGCGGCCTACCAGCGAGGCTACTTTGACCAGCAGATGTGCCAGTTTCTTCTGAACCACAAGAATCAAACAAGAAGTTGTTTTGACCCCAACACGCACGAGAACCTCACTTATACACAGCTCCTCCGCCGCTGCGTGCCCGACCCGGACACGGGGCTGCTCATGCTCCAAGTGATGGACAAGGGCTCGGTGCTCTACCAGCTGAACAAGGACGCCCGCAAAGCCCTGCAGGCTGCCCGCACCACCGTCAGCGTGGGGCTCTTCCAGGGCCAGAGCGTCACCGTCTGGGAGCTCCTCTTCTCTCGCTACATCTCTGATCGCCAGAGAGAGGAGCTGCTGAGGAAATATAAGGTGGGGACGGTGACCATCCCAGAAATGATCGCCACTCTCACTGCCATCATCACCAAGGCAGAAACAGGAAACCAGGATCTGAGCTCATCCACAGTAACACCCAGCTGTGAGGTGGGATCACCACAACCAGTACAGGATACACACTCCCAGGAGCAGCAGTTGAGAAAGTCATTAAAGTCTGCGACCATCTATGTCACTGCTGGTGAGTTCCAGGGACAAAATGTTTCCTTGCTGGACCTGCTCTTTTCCAAATACATCCCTCAGGGGAAGCGGCAGGAGCTGCTGGAGCTGTACAGAGCGGGCATACTGACCACAGAACAGGTGGCTACTGCCGTCACCACCACGATCAACAAGACAGAAGCTGCCAATACCACACTTGCAGCGAATACCAGAAGTCCACAGAAGGTGGTGACAAGGGCAGAGGAAAATGGAGATGATGTTTCAGCACAAGATGCACAACTAGATAACGTCTTGAAGTCTACCACCATTGACATGCCAGCTGGTGAGTTCTCTGTGTGGGACCTGCTCTTCTCTGACTACATCTCTGAGGACAAAAGGCAGGAGCTTCTGGAGCTCTACCATGGAAGGGTATTAACCCTGGAGAAGATGATAACTGTTGTCACCACCCTCATTAAGAAAAAAGAATCTACAGGCAGGAAATTCCAAATTTCAGTGAAGACTTCCAACAAGGACACCGTGCCAGTGGCAGGAGAGAAGGATGCTGTCTCCTCCAAAGAAGAACCATGGGAAGCAGCCTTGAAAAACACAGTTGTCGACATGGAGGCTGGAGAGTTTCAGGGCCACAAGGTCTCCGTGTGGGACTTGCTCCACTCAAAGTACATCCCTGAGGAGAACAGAAAGGAGCTGCTAGAGCTGTACCAGGCAGGAGAGTTAACCCTTGAGCAGGTGAAAACTGTTGTCAGCACTATTGTAACCAAGGCAGAGGAAGCAAGAGCAGCGCAAGCAGCACATGAGAGTAGTTCAAGGGCAGAGACAGCAGTCACTGAAGCTGAGCACACCCACCACCTGCAAGAGGACAGGACCTGGGAAGAAACCCTGAAGTCCACCACAGTTGAGATGGCAGTGGATGAGTTCCAGGGGAGGCAAATCTCTGTGTGGGACCTGCTCTTCTCTGATTACATCTCTGAGGACAAAAGGCAGGAGCTTCTGGAGCTGTACTGTACTGGGACACTGGCCTTGGAGCAGATGATAACTGTTGTCACCACCCTCATCAAGAAAAAAAAATCTACAGGCAGGAAATTCCAAATTTCAGCGAAGACTTCCAACAAGGACACTGTGCCAGTGGCGGGAGAGAAGGATGCTGTCTCCTCCAAAGAAGAACCATGGGAAGCAGCCTTGAAAAACACAGTTGTCGACATGGAGGCTGGAGAGTTTCAGGGCCACAAGGTCTCCGTGTGGGACTTGCTCCACTCGAAGTACATCCCTGAGGAGAACAGAAAGGAGCTGCTAGAGCTGTACCAGGCAGGAGAGTTAACCCTTGAGCAGGTGAAAACTGTTGTCAGCACTATTGTAACCAAGGCAGAGGAAGCAAGAGCAGCGCAAGCAGCACATGAGAGTAATTCAAGGGCAGAGACAGCAGTCACTGAAGCTGAGCACACCCACCACCTGCAAGAGGACAGGACCTGGGAAGAAACCCTGAAGTCCACCACAGTTGAGATGGCAGTGGATGAGTTCCAGGGGAGGCAAATCTCTGTGTGGGACCTGCTCTTCTCTGACTACATCTCTGAGGACAAAAGGCAGGAGCTTCTGGAGCTGTACTGTGCCGGAACACTCCCCATTCAGGAACTCATCAGCACCATCAGCAGCATTGCAATTGACAGCAAAGAAAGGAAACTTGCAACCCTTCCCCAGCAGACAGTGGATCTCCTCCAGACTGAGGGCTCCTACATTACCTTTGGCCCATTCCAGGAGCAGAAGGTGTCAGTATGGGAGCTCCTCTCCACCAAGCAAGTCTCAGAGTACAAACGAGAGGCACATCTTGACACTTATGGCACAGGGGGGCTGACTGTGAACAAGATCACCATCACCACCACTGTCGTCACAGGCCCACAGGGAAAGAAGAGACACCACCAGGACCACTAGCACTACCTGCCCCAGAAGAGAATTAAGCTCTACCTCCTATGGAAAATGCAACCTGGGCTCTTCTGAGCATTGGCTCTCCATGCAATACAGTTATGGACAGGAAAGAGTGGTGATGAACCTGTGTGTGGAACATGGTGGTCTCCTGGTTAAACTCTTTCCTGTCTCAACTACTACTTCACTCAGAATGTTTTTGCCTGGTGGAGCATTCCTGGGGGAAGGGGGGAGGGAGATTTTAGGGAGGGCAGGGGAGGGCTTGTGGCTGTCACTTCCTGCCAGACTCACACGGGCACTGACAAAGGATAGGGAAATGTGGGGTCAGCACTCACAGCAAATGGGTCAGAGACTGCCACCAATGGGATCAGGCAGAAACCACAAAGCAGGAGCTATGGGCAGCACAACTGGCAGCCCCAGAAGAGCTACAGAGGGACAGACCACCTCTGCACGGGATAGCTGGGACCCTGGCCCTGCTGAGGAGCAAGCAGTGCGGGCAGCACACATGGCTGCAGTCACCTGCAGGACATTTTGCATGCATTAACTTAAAGTGGGATTGGGCTTCTGGTGCCAAGGCTCTGATGCCAGCAATGGTGAGCAGCTGCTGGGTGCACTTGCAGGAGCCCAGAGCTATCAGGGGCAAAGGGATGCCACAGGGAAGGGTGCTCCTGTGTGTGCCAGGGACATCCCGAGTCCCTGTGCCCTTGAAGGTCACTGCCCACTGGGGAGGGAAAGCAGCTATGAGAGCGTCCCCATGCTGCCTGGCACTGAGCTGAGCAGCCATGCACATGTGCAACATGGATGTGTGCTGCAAAGTGTATGCACTGAGCGTGCATGCAGGTACCACAGAGCCATGTGTGCACAGCACCGCACGTGGGGCTGGACCTGCCATGCCCTGGGGAGTCTGGCATTGCATTCAGACATGGGGGGGTGAGGCACAGCCTGCAGCATGTGTCTGTGTTCGCGTGTGCATGTGTCACCGTTACAGGTGTGTGTGTGTACATGTATGTGTACACGCCCCTGTTACACCGCCGTGTGTGGCACAGCTCTCGCCCACCGTCTGTGTGGATGTGACACTGCGTGTGACACCAGTGCTGCCCCCTGATGGCTTCAGCCAGGCCCTCAGCTGGGCCATCATCCTGGGCCTCATCCTGGGCCTCATCATGGGCCTCATCCTGGGCCTTCAGCTGGGCCCCACAGCCGGGACTCAGCTGGGCTGGGGCCTGAGTCAGGGCCCCTGGCCGCAAACCTGCAGCTGCCCCATGCCACTGTCCTGGGCTGCAGCTGCCCTTCACTGCTGCACCTGGTGTTGCCCTCGGCTATGTGGTGGCTCGGTATGGGGTATGCTCGGCTATGTCAGCTCCCCTGCCAGTGTGAAGCCACGAGGGGCATGGCTGTCTCTCAGCCTGCAGTCTGAAACCCCCAGCCCCATTCAGCCTGGGAATGCAGCTTCTCCCAGTGACAGACATGGGCTGGGACAGCACTCCTGTACCATTCACCAGCTGACCCAGTCCACGTCTCAAGATAGGGACCCCTAGCCTGGACCCCACACATCCCAAAGCCTCCCCAGAACCCCCAAGGCTCCCACAGACAAAGCCCCCTATAGCATGGGGATCCAATGGCCCCCACTGTCCAAACCAACAGCTCCAACCCTGACTTGGGCACCCAGGCCTTGGCCGGCCATCCCATGGGGTCTCATCACCACCCAGCAGGTCCCCGTAGTCCCCTGCTCAAGGTCCCCCTGCCTTGGGAGTGGGCATGGCATGGCCTCCCTGCTTTGCACCCCAGCACCAGAGCCATGCCTGGGCTCCCCAAAACTTCTGCCATCCACACAGGGCCACAGTGCTGGGGCCAAGGCACTCTGCTGGGCTCTTGAACACACAGGGTTGGGTGCCCCAGCCCTGCCAGCCCTAACGGGAGATGGAGAGCAGCACCCAGCATGCTGCACAGCCCTGCTCCACGCTGGAGCTCACACATTGCTCCATGCTTGCTGCCTTCCCAGCTCTCTGCTCACAAAGGAGCAGTGAGGATGCAAGCCAGTCCTTTAGCCAGAGCTCCCAGGGATGAGTCCCACCACTGAGGTACACACAGGGGAGAGGGACACGTTTGTGAGGCCTGTTCGGACCCTGAGAGTTACAGAGGCTGCCAGCAGGTTCAGCTGGCAGGTTCAGCCACCTCACCAGGCACACTGTGCATGCTGTGGATGACACATGCTTTAAGCCACCACAAGGAGCATCTGCAGGGAAAGTCTAAGGGGGGAACCCCCGATGTGCCCATCATGGCTGTGGGTGCCTCTGGAGAACACTCCTCATGTACAGAGCCCTGGAGCCATGTGAGAGCCACTCAAATGAGCTGTCCCCAGGGCTGGCCAAATGGCCTCATCCCAGCCACCCTCATAGTGCACGTGGATGGCAACACAAGCCCAGTGCACCACGCACAGCCTGCAGCTCCAGGACACAGCCCGCAGGCTGGAGCATACATCTGTGCTGGGGAAGCACAGGAAGGTGCTGGTGGAGCTTCCCACAGCACTTCAGTCCCAGAGGCAAGGGAGCCAAGGGAGCCACTCCACCAGCAGCTCACTAACAAAAAAGACTAATGCAGGGCTAACAGAAACATGCAGTGTCACAGGGACTTCCAGACATAAGCACCACTCCACAGAGGAAATAGAGTTGCTATAAATTACCAGGAAGGGAGCAGAGAACTGAACAACATCTCCTGAGGTGTTCTTTGTCACAGCTCATTGTCTCATATCATGAGAACGCAGAGAAGCACGAGAATGGTGAAACACAGGGAAGGAAAGAGGAAGAATTGAATAGTCTCCATAGTCTGGAAGAGAAGACCAAGGTGGACAGCATAGTGGTTGGCATAGGGGAGATGACTGTGTGTTTACCATCTTTTTCAACACAAGGACTAGGGCGTATTGCAGAATCCAACACAAAGCCAGTTCAGGTCAAACACATATTTTTCTACATACCGGGCAGCTGAGCTGAGGGACTCCCTGCTGCAGGATGTCCTGGATGATAAAAGTTTATATTGATTCAAAGAACAATCAGAGTAAGCCATGGAGGAAAATCCATCAAGAGCTACTTAATAGCAAGCCAGATCTATGTCTCAGGAACTACCAGGGCCACAAACCCCTGGGGCACAAAAGGATGTACCAAAGAAGTGCTGGTGTATGCTTGCCTTGCTCTTATGCTGCTGCTTCCTACACACCTGCTGTTGGCCACTGCCAGGTTATGGAGCTGGAATGGTCCTCAGAGACCCTCTCTGTATTTCTGCTTCTGGCAGGGAGTTGGCACCAGTCTGTGTGCTACAGGCCCTGGTGTGGACCAAGCGGCCAGTTTGGTGCAGGCAAGCAGAGGACTGTGGGCAGGAGGACTTCTGAAAGGAGTCGGTGCCAGCTTCAGCCTGCCTGGGGAGCCAAGGCTGGGAGGGCTCCAGATGGCTTCCTGGGGCTCAGATTGCACTCCCACAGGAAGTGCTGAATTTCCAAAAAAGAAGCTGAAAGAAAACAGGACATTGTGTAAGGGAAAAGCTGCATACATTTGCATAGTTATGAGCTAGTTGCATAACTGAATGCATCTGAATAGTATCTGAATACTCTTTGGAGGCATGGGGGCAATAGGGGAAAAGAAAGGGTCAGGCAGACTGTGTCTCCTGCCCAGTCCCTGTGGGAACATCGCACCACAGTGGATGCACTGGGTAACTTCTCTGTTTTGTGGAAGATGGTGGGGGTTTAGTGTAAAAGCCCCCAGACATGCTCTGTTGGGATAGGAACAGGAAACCAGCAAGCCCATCAGTGTGCCCACAAGCCAGGCCAAGCCACAGTCACAAGTGAGGAAGCAGGTAGAGTGCCCACAGCACAGACAGCTTTCCTTGTTGAGCGATGGTGTGCTCCCACCCGTGGGAGCCCCCCATGACAGTGCCCCCAGGTCTGGGACACAGCCAGGCTCATTGCCCCAGCTGGAGCACACCAAGCCACACAAACGAAGCCAATGTGGTCAGGAAGGTGCGCCTGGGTCAGCATGCCTGCTCCCTGTCATGCAGCAGTTTACCAAAGAAAACCTTTTGCAAAATCAGGAGGCATTCTATACCTCTGCTCTGGGAATTTGAACCAGTCTTTCACCCCCAGCAGCTTGAAGCCTCCTAGTTTTCAGCCAGTTTGGACTGATTTCCTCTTTATGCAAAACCCATCCATCAGTTTAAGCAGGTCTCCTCCTGCTCCAGTGTTTTTCACTGATAAAGCACCCTGAGCAATCTTATCAACCCTCAACATCTGTTTTGACAAGCTATCTAACTGAGCTGCTCCCAACTCCTCTCTGCATTCCCTCGGTCATCTCAGCTGCTCTTCTCTGCACCTTTTCTATAATGAATGAGTATTTTACAGCATGGCTGGTCAGCACTGGCTCATGGTCTGTAAATCTGGTTCTGTCCAACAGCATTGACACTGCCTTTTCTGGACATAGATCCCAGCAGAGTTAATGCACCAAGTCTTCGTGGCTGCATACATGGCAGTCTACATTCACCCCCATACTGCTGAATGCATGTTGGCCTTTTCTTCCTTAATCACTTCCAAATCCAGGATCCTAATTTATAGCACAAATGTTTGTCCAGTAAGTCCAGGGCATGACTTTGTGTTTTGTACCATTCCGTTTCCTCTCATGACTATTAGTCCAGCCTTCAATGTCATCCATTGCTCCTGAAAGCCATTCCAGCCCTCTGCTCCACATTTCCATTATCTCACCTGTTAGCTAAACTCACTGACACGCACCTGATATTCTGTAATGAAGTCTTTGATGAAAGTATTACATTTTTTGGCTCCTAGAGCCCATATTCCCCTTTCAGCACAATCCAATCTCCTGGTGGCAGATAGAACGCTGGCTGCGTCTACACCTATGCAGCAGCAAGGCTGCTGTGGGAGACAGAAGTTACTTTTTTGTTTTTGCTACTCTTACAATCTGCTGATTTGTGCAATTATCTTGACTTTGTCTTAACAACACAAAGGGGGGTGAGGGGAAGCAACAAAGTTCCGGGGTGTCTCCACTTTTTTCTCCTACCCCAAAGATGACTGCCACATCATCTTCAAGCTCAGCTGAAAGGCTGTTATTTTCTCCGAACCAAAATTTTAAAGTCAGAGAAAAAAAGGAACAAAAGATAGCATTATGATGAAAGCCTAGCTTAATTTTCCACTTAACTGGTTCTGCTTCTTTTTCTTATAAAAGGTCAAAAAAGTGTTTAAAACTGTTGGAACAGGAAACCCACCAGTTATAATATGATAGCCCAAGCTGCACTTAACTCCTTAGTGCTGTAAGAGCAAGGACGGGGTCACTTCCTCAAGTCCCCTGGGCTGGAGCCATCCCAGGTGCATCAGGCACCGTCCTTCTCTCCCCACACAGGCTGTGCGTGGGTAGGGTGGGGGGTTCGGACCGCCTGCAGGACCCTAGCACTGCATTACACCGACCCCCCATGCATTGCTGAGCACCCATGGGCTCTGCCTGTCCCTGCTCCCCTGCACCCACCGGCGTCCCCCAGGGCCACCACCTCTGCGCAGGTGCAGGGGCAGAGCCCAGCGCCTGCCACACCTCAGGACAGGAGTTTCTGGGGAGCGGTGGGGCTGCAGGGGGAGCCAAGCCAGGAGGGACCGAAAGGAATCGGCTGAGATTTACAAAAGGAAACCACAGGCTGAGGGGCAGGAAATTCCCTGGCAGCCAAACACAGGAGGCCAGGACGTGGAAACACTCGTGGCTGGGTCCAGCCCAGCCCTGCACAGCACAGTGTGTGCTGCTGCCCTGACCACGCTGTGCTCCCCTGAGCACCACTACCTGCAGCCAGGCCTCCCTCTTTGCAAAACAGGCCAGGAGTCAGGAAACTGCGATCGAGCCTCCTGCCAGGGCTCCCGAGCAACCCTGAGCCCTTCCAGATACCGCAGGAGCCTGCCAAGAAAGGGGGAGCAGGGAACAAGGTCTGACATAATCCAGGCGCCCTTTGTGTGCCGCCAGCTACAAGCAAAGAACAAAAGAAAGCCAGCCTTCTCTGGTCCAAGCAGCACCCTCGCTGGCTCTGACAGCTGGCCA